ATGTTTACAAACACATGCACACACATATACATGTGCGCATATGCTTATGCTTATAACTGTTAAAGTCATCGAGATGTTACGATTACGGCTAATTGTCACTACATGACAATTTTCTTTTTTCATGCTTTACTTCTTAAAGGTAGCGTATTAGTTTTGTCATTTCTTCTGTTCTAACTCCGAATACCAGAGAGAATACCAGATTTGAAGTTATCTGACCGCGATTCTGCTTGCAAATCGCTTTATTCAAAAGTAAACCAAAACGAAACTCGAATTAATTAGGGTTCAGGGTTACGTATCCATTCATTTGTTTGTAAGCATGTACTTTCGCTTAGTATTCACAAAAATTCAGATAAAAAGTTAAGCTTATCTGCCAGCTCCTCTTTTTATTCAAATCGATCCCATTTTCTTATAAGCAATTTTTTTTTAAAAATCCTACGATGTTCACTAGATGTTGAGTCATGTATTTAGACCACTTTTACTGTATTATTCTAAGTGCGAAATCGGGGCGTGTGGCGATACGATCAGCAAGGAAAGAGGGGCTTATTTTGCGGCAACTGCCATAACTTCGTTTTGTTTTCAAAATATTTAGGAAAACATCTTCTATTCACATTAAATCTTGTACTTTCATAAGGTATGTAAGAATTTACATATGAGTGAATTTTTTCAGTTTTTTGACACAAATTTAGTCAACGTAACGAGATATTACTTTTAATGCGCACAATTTTTTACTGGTATTTGGAGGGAAGAAACGCAAAGCAAATTATTAGGAAATAGTAGCAACTGCCTGAGCGAAGAGATCAAGGATAATCTCGATTGGCCTACGACATGCAGCCAATTTCGAACAATTACAAGTTAAGCAAGGTAATCCAAACTGCAAATTGGCAAATCTTTGGGCAATGTACGCTTCAAAGTTTTGTTTTTTGTTTATCGTGAACTTGACATCGATGTGAAATGGAGAGAGGGATGGATCGAGGGTCGGTCAGACGGATGGATAGGCGAATGGACAGACGGGAGTATGGATGGATGGACTGACAGATCTTTGATAACTTATTCAATTTTTTTTTTAATTTGATCAGCAAATCAGGGCTGTCTGCTACAAGTAGATCAGAGCTCAGGGCAGATTATAGGTAGCAGAGCGTGGAAAGCACATTCAGACATACGTCAGGTGCATAAATATGAAAAGCGGATTTTTTTCGAAAAAAACGCCTTAAATTTCTACGAATGATAAAACTGCACCTATTGAAGATATGCTCCGCCATTGGTTATATGTTTTTCTCATTTTTGTGGTTATTTTGTCAGAAAAATTCGCTTTCTTTGACGCGAACTAACTTTCTTTACTGTAGCATTATCGATTCATCGTATTCTACTCACTTATTAATCATTTATGCTATATTTACACTTTCTCATATGTCCACATAATGTAAATCTAGCTATAACGCAGTTAAGATAACCGACTTTAGTTATAATCCGCACTAAATGTAACTTTAGTAATGACCTACTTTAGAACAACTATTTTGCTTAAGCTAGCGTAACAATTTATTATATAAGACACTGACCACAGTTCAGCTAAGTCAGAGAGTCAGAATTAAAGTAAAGCTAACAAACGTCAAGTTATCGGACCCATTTATTGCGTTTTCGCTACATTACATCTTCCTAAGAAGAAAAGCGCTACTCAGCCAGTGGCTAACCCGTCCATCGTGCAAAGAGGCGATAGTCGGAAAGAGTAGAATCTGGTGAGTGAGATGCATGGATTAGCACTTCCCAGTAGAGCGCTTTCAACGTATCGCAAATCGATTTTTCGTAGACGGTCGAGCTTTATCATAAGAAAAAATGATTCATTTATACTTAGCTTAACCACCTTCTTACTATATTACGGTTTTTTTTCTTCATATATTTTACGTCGCCGCTACGAATTTTATTTTCCATAATTTACTTAACTGTAGGGCATCCAAACGTTGTCTAAAGCTGGCCTAAGAGCTTCTCTTTTTTTTGCTTTCTATTTTATTATCATAATTACCATTTTTTATTTTTTTTTATTTATATTTGTCTTTGAAGCTGATCATCATTAAACTGATTTATAGAGTTTGAAGATTTTTGCAATTAGGTTTCTCATCTTCATTTTTCACAACCCAACCCTCTCTGCATAACATTTACCATATATAATATATATATATATATATATATATGTGCATATATTCATGCGTATATATATGTAAATAATTTGTTTGGCACTTCATATAATAACCAGTGTATATGGCTGTTGCGCCATACAGTATACAGTTTAATAACAGGGGCGTTTTATCATTACTAGGATGATAACCGTTTTGAATGAGTGGATTCGGATTCTTTTACTATTTAAATTTTTAGCTGGTATTAATGTTTGTGTTGTTTTTTCTTTTTTTCTTTTTTTTTTCATTCTGCTTCTTGCTATTTTTGTTGTTGTTGTCAAACCAGTGTGATATCCTGCTGTGTACTGTATGTTTATCAGTCGGTAGTTAAATGTTAAATGGACCCTTTGGCAAATTCATTTAAACGCGTGAATTCAATTTGTCGCCCTGGGGTTATTGGGTGCGCACTTGATATCGTTAAAACTTTACTTTTCTATGACTTTGTTGCACTTATTGCTTCAGAACGAAACAAACAACAACAACAGTTACGCCGCCACAACAAAAATATGTAAAGTAAATAACTGAGCAGCAGTCGTGTTCCGTTAAAACATGTCGAGTGCCCTTCTTCTAATAAATTATATAAATACATGTCTATGCGTACTTATGTCCCTCTTACAGGGAAATATTAGTCAGTTTGTATTATTGCCTAAAGGCAAACATCTGTTTCATTTGTTTAAGCAACTATGCAATGCGAGAGAGGCAGTTAAGCTACACAAGTATAATGTAATAATTTTTGACATACGAAACCAAAAGAAAAACTAATGAGAGCATAATACTTATAAGCAAATTAAACGTCATCCACCTCCTGCACCAAAAAGGAAATAAAAAGAAATCGATATATGTATTATCGAAAACAAAGTCGGAGAAAGGGCACGTGCTATTTGCGTCCATAGTAGCAACTCGCTTTGGCCGGCAAATCATTAAATCATGAACAAAATGAATGCTTAGTCAAATAAGCAAAAAATGAAGAAAAAATAGTAAGAATAGAAAGCGTGGATGTGGAAAGTATAGAATGGATGCCGATATTACTTGTTAATAGGCAGTCAATGTTCCCTTACTAAGTTTTGTCAAAAAAACCACCAAATCTTGGTGCCAATATACGTATATGTTTATGCAGGGTCACCCAGTTTGTGGTTCCGAAAGTCGACGTGAATAAAACACACTTCCGCTTGAGTTTTGAATCGAACTCCTTTTTCAATACGTTGTCATTTGGAGCGTATTCGTTTTCCTCACTTGGCAAGTAGACGTAGCTGATTAGGGGTCTCGTTTATTATAGAAGTTCTATCTGGTCAATGTAATTCGCGCGTTTTCTATTGATCAAGATTGACATTAGTATACCGACAAGTGTATATCGTAAATATTCGCTTAGCTTGCATTCACACACTCATGCTAATTACGAAGACGATCGATTTTTCTTATTATAGCCATCCGAAGGACGATGAGGAATCAGTCAATCTGTTTCTCTGTCCATCTGTGTAATGTATGTTGTAAATATACTCCCGGCTCGAAAAATGAAGCTCCTTGGTAGAAAAATTGGTAATTTTTGCGCGCACGTTTGCAATGAAAATGGGCCAAATCGGTCGAGCGAAACGCCCGCAGCATTATATAAACATCTTTGTTCTTCAAAAGGAATAAAAAATTGGTTCTTTGCTCGTTACTCGCAAACTATAGGCGATGCTATAGCACCTGTACAAAAATTGAAAATTAACCACGCCTACTCAATATAATACCCTATCAAAATTTAATTTTTTTCAATATGTTTATAAAGCGCAGAAACAAGTTCAAAATCCCCATAAAGCATATATTCTTGGCCAGTTTCAAATTTCGACAGCACCTAAACATGTCCGTCTGCTCCGTCTATCTACGTAGTATTTATAATACACACTCTCCCGTTCACACGAGAATGAAAATATCGCCAGCAAATTTGCAAGAGAGTTTGGAAGTGAGTTGAATTTTGCCTGTAAGGCCCACACGCTTATGCGATAAAACCTTTTGTTTTGAAAATAGAAAAAAATAGCCGCACCCACATGAAAATTTAGTTCCTTCACTTTTGCCGTATTGTAGGATAACAGTGGTGGGTATAAAAGATGTCGGTAGTGGGTACAAAGATATAATTTTTTTACTTGTTTGATGTTGAGTCGGCTTTTATTGTTACCTTTCACAATATATTGGTTGGAGCTCTTCATGTTATTTATGAAACTCAATGCATATGTAGTTGGAAGGTATGCAGTAATTGTTGAAACTTATTGCGGCAACAATGAACCAAGCACATCTTTGATTAGATGACTTCGTGAGTAAAGCTTATTGCCGCTGCGGTATAAAGAAAACACTTTAGATATTTCTAAAGGAATTTTCATTGTTCAAAAGTATCTTTTGGACGCACTTTGTGGACTGTAAGTGCTATTTTTAAACATGAAAATAAAAGGTGATATTTTTGTTTAAAACAATCCTTCATGTTAATTACGCGTTGAAATGCTTTGGGATTTTTGCAATAAAATCTCTTGCTTTGGCTAAGGCTCTTCTTAATAACAAGCGTACAAAAAGATGAGTGACATAAAGCACTGAAAGAAACTCGCTTTTAATATTTTAAGTCACTCTTCACCACCTTAAACATCTTAAAGGCCTTAAATTCGCTCCAATAAGCTCTACATAATCCTGACATGACTTTGTCCGATCTTTGAATTTTTCAATTTCCCTGAAAAAGTTTCTAACAAGCTGATGTTTTTTAAAGAAAATTTAAAAAAAAGTTTTAAAGCTTTAAGCTGAATAATAATATTTTATTCATTATGATTTTTTTTTTTTAACTTCTTGCTTGCTTTTCATTTATTACAGATTTTTCCTGAAATTCTTTTTAAAATGCAACCAAAATTGCTTAAAAAATGCAGGCAACCCAAGGGATATGCGCAGATTTCAGGTAATTTATGCATACAGAACGGACACAAAAAAGTAGAAAAAAAAAAAAATATGGATAAAAAATCACAGAAAAAATAAAAAAAATTATTTTTTGTTTTTTTTTTTTTTTTTTTTTGTTTTTACGGCAGATAAAAACAATTAGAAGCATTTCTTTTTTCTCTCAAAATACGCACACACATCTACGTATATATTAAATGTATGTTTTCTTTTTTTTCGTTCTCCTTTAATCGTTTCATTATTTCCGTATTTAACTACAGGTTGTCATATCCACGCAAGTGAGCGTTGAGGGTCCATTGTTGGCCATTTCGGATAATATGTTCGTGCATAACAATTCAAAGCACGGCCGGAGGGCAAAACGTTTGGATACCACGGAAGGTACAGGCAATAGTTCCCTGTCCATAACGGGACATCCCTTAGCGCCTGACAGTACCTATGATGGTCTGTAAACAAAATTCTATTACTTAATAAAAATTGTTTTGTTGTTGTTTTTTTCTTTAAACATTTTATTTACATTTTTTGTTAAAAAAAAAAAAAAAAAAAAACAAGTAATAAATAATTTTATTTAATTGGAAATAATTGGCAAAATCCCAAATGCGATCCCACCTAACCTTCTGGCCATTTAAGCTCCTTAAATAATGAATTATGTAATTTTAGTTAATTTGTTTGGGACTTTCGGTTTTTTTATATTATTTTAGGTCTATATCCGCCTTTGCCAGTGGCTACACCTTGCATTAAAGCCATATCACCAAGCGAAGGGTGGACGACAGGTGGCGCCACCGTTATTATAGTGGGTGATAATTTCTTTGATGGCCTTCAAGTGGTGTTTGGCACCATGCTGGTATGGAGCGAGTTAATCACTTCTCATGCTATACGAGTTCAAACCCCGCCACGTCATATACCCGGTGTAGTTGAAGTCACCTTATCATATAAGAGTAAACAATTCTGCAAAGGATCACCCGGTCGCTTTGTCTACGTTTGTAAGTTCAAATAAATATATTCCGCGCTTACATTCGCAAATCCTATAATGCATTAATTTTTACTTTGGTTTACGCAGCCCTTAACGAACCGACCATTGATTATGGTTTTCAGCGATTACAAAAGTTAATACCACGTCATCCTGGTGATCCGGAAAAATTACAAAAAGAAATTATTCTAAAAAGAGCAGCTGACTTAGTAGAAGCTTTATATTCAATGCCAAGGTAAGAAATACTTTTAAATTTTTCCCTTCCGTTAACACATTCTTCTGTATATTAGATCGCCTGGTGGCTCGACTGGTTTTAACTCCTACGCCGGCCAGTTGGCTGTGAGTGTACAAGATGGTACCGGCCAATGGACCGAAGATGATTATCAACGGGCACAATCGAGTAGCGTTAGTCCACGCGGTGGCTATTGTAGCAGTGCTTCCACACCCCACAGTTCAGGGGGCTCGTACGGTGCAACTACAACGGCAGTCGCCGCGGCCGCTTCAAATGGCTATGGACCAACACCCAATATGGGCACATTATCATCATCTCCGGGCAGTGTGTTTAATTCAACATCAAGTCAGTATTTTGTTTCAACGTTAAAGAAAAACTTTTTCAGTTGATTTTTGAAAGAGAATTTTTTTAAGTAGAGGTTCTTGAATTTTATTTTTCAATCCACTCTGTTATTAAGAAATAATCGAATATACTCCGCTTTGATAGGCGAAGCCGATAAAAAACAGATTTCTTTAAGGAAAAATAGGTTTTGAGAAATCCCTACGTAGTTCTGCAAGCAAAAGATTTCATCAACGTTATAATCATCAAATAAAAACACTATAGTGAGGCATGGCCCGCCGTTAAATGCCATACCACACCATATACGACTGCGTAGTTATTGATAAAGTGTTGTGTGCAGCGGCGTGCAAAAAGTGGTCAGATCCTGGTAATTTTCAATAGCGTTTTTCATTGGGCCAAAATGTGTCGATGCACTGACAGTTTTATCGAAATATCTCCAAAATTCCAATCTGTAGGTTGAAGAAAAGAAAACAACGCGGACAGGCGAACGACGAAACTTATAATAAATAAAGGGTCTATCTGAAGTCCTTCCGGATGTTCCATAGATCCGCAAAAACTTACATAATAAACAAAGAGATATGCAAAACGTTGACTTCATTTAAAGCACAAAAAAGTGGTCATGCTTAGATGATTTTGAATAGATCAGTATAATGAAAGATGGATCTATATTAAAACTATCTGGGCGTTGCATACATCCCCACAAACTTGATGGACACTGTACCACAAGTGATGTAGGGCACGATTAACGGCAGGGCGTAGGGATCGGATACATTTGTCTTTTGGACCCTAGCATATATGGGTTATCATAAACGGCAAGCTCTTATGTGGGGGGAAAGTCTAATTTTTATAATCGATGATGGAAATGGAAAGATAAGAAAATCTTCACTAAATAAATTTAATTTGCTAAATTTTTGTCACGCCCTGTGAAGTTTTGGGCATCCTCCAATACGCGGTCTTTCAAAGAAGGTGTATCTTTGCATGAAAGTATGTGTTCTGGTAAGGTCGGCCTTGACCCAATATAATATTGTTATATGTGAAACGGCTTACAAGGGCCTAAAAATTGTTGACAACTCTATTCACCATAAGTAGATCAATATCATTAGTAATTATATTAACGCATTAAACTGTTATACACATGCGGTTGGAAGTACTCCTTAAATGCTTTCATAGCGTTCTTACTGATATTCTCCTATGGAATGAAAAAGGGTAAAGCGACGAGAGCTTCGGAACGTTACGCGGACGTTACATTAGCCAGCTAATGTGGCCGAACGCAGCTGTACTTTTTCTAGTTTCCGGAAACAAATTTTCACCTTGAAGAAGAATTTTTCAGTCCATTCTATAAGAACAAATATAAAAAAAAATTCGTCGAAGGAGCCGAAAAAAAAAGTGGACTCAAAGCTGCGTCATGCGTTTGATATGACCACACTTATTGTGAGAGCTATCCATTCAATTAATTTTCGGGCGAATATTCTTTAATTTGAAGTAGAAATTACGACAATATTAAAAGAAAAAGTTGATGAAGCATAAATAAAGTGAGCGAAATTTAGAAATGAGAGAACCACTGCTTCTTAGAAAAGTCATAGAAGCCATCTACCTCTTCAATACTTTAAATGATTTGAATTTTTTTTTTTTTTTTTAATCTTTTAATTATACTTTATTTATATTTTATATAAATATATATATATATATACATATATATATATGTATTTTAAATAGCTTTTTTTCCCCAAAGTTTTAATCTGATATCATTTTTTTTATGTTTTGTTTTTATGAATTTGTTTAAATTTTTATTTTTTAAAAAACATTTTAATATAATTTTACACTTTTCACATGTTAAACATGATCTACACATTATATCAAAATAAAAAAAAAAATTGTCACAAAAAAAAATCATAATAATAATAAACAAAACAAAATCAAAAAAAAAAAATAAGTAAATAAAAAAAACACAATGAAAACAAATCAATGCTCAGCTAGTGCCTTTTCGCCATTAATTTCAACAGTGTCCACAACCTGGCATCAGGCTTTGGTTCAGCATCATCATACGCATCCTCATCACTATCATCATCATCACCAACCCTGGCATAATCCTGCAGCCGCAGCTACTGCAGCCGTTTAAATATTAAATAAAATAAAAAACACAAAGAAACGAGAAAACAGCAGAGCGTAGTTTAAATTTGCAACCGAAATAATAGATAGATCAGCCAGTACATGAGCTGCAGCTAAACGTAATAATAAATTGCTGCAGAAAACAAATGGCGGAGGAAGTAAAACAGCAACCAGTATGATAAAAAGCGCTAAAAATCGAAAACTATATGCACAAGTAACTCGGAGAGAGCTATTTAAAAAAAACAAAAAAAAAAGAAAAAAAGAAGATGTAAGAAAGAAAAACAATAAAATCGAACGACCAGCAGAATCACTACATTTAAGAGAAATAATAAAAGTGATAAAAACCTTTGCATATGCATATGTGTATGTATGTGTATATAAATATACGTATACACATATATATATATATATATATATATATAAACATTCACCAGCTCTGCCATCTAAAACCAGGCGCCAGTGACCGTAAACACTTTACACCACTAAACGGTACTTTGTTACTTTTTTTATAAATTATTTTCCAACAAATCTGATTTTTTTTTCTTTTTCTTATTTTTTTTTGGTTTTTCATTTTCATTCAGATTTTGTTTTCTTTATTATTTTCTGTGTGTTTTTTTTAAAATAGCAAAAAAAAATTCTATGCTTGTAATTAATTTTAATAGTTGTTGTTTTTTTTTTTTTTGTTCTTTTTAATTTATTCAATTTTTGCTAAATTTTTTGTACATCTTTTTTCTTTCGGTACAAAATTCAATTATCGTATATGCCTGTCAATGTGAAATTGTATTCATTTATTTGAACTAAACAAATATTTTTGCCCCGCCACCGTACTGTATAGGTATGCTAAGATAGTCATTCGGTTTGTAGACATCAGATATAAGTCTTAGAGATACATAGACTTGACATACGACACCCTTACCTACCTACCTTTTGATAATAACTATATGTGTACTATCACATAATAATATCTATATGTGTACTATCATATATGCGGACTATCACATAACCTGCGGATTTTTAGGTAAATGAAGATAACAAGATAGATATGCCACACCCACAAAAGCGGACCTTTAAAGATCCACCTCTTGGCTAAAATTTCATAACTTTACTATCAATGCCTTAAAATGTACAGCAGATGTCGCTCCAGTTGATCCACACTCTGTTAGAACGTCAGACATTTTTGGACTCAAAGACGATTTGATCCTAAAACTATTCCTCTTCCCCCACCTGCTATTAAAATGTGCAAAAAAGGAAAAACTTTAATAGAAGTTTCTATCACTTGTTAAAGAGTTCTTGCCTTTCTGCGCATCTGTTTACCCGTTCGCCCGCCGGCGACTCCTAAAGCCTCCAGCAAGAAATTTGTATTTCTTCAACGCGATTGCTAAACTCTAAATGGGAGACCGAGACATTGACGCGATGATTTAGCGGAGAAAGGTTGCCCATTATTTCGATTGTAACTAATTTTTCGCTTGGATCAGAGTAAGCAGGACTTCAAACTTCCTTATTGAAGCCAAAGCTCGCACAATTCTCTTACTATTCACTTTCAGCACGTTACTTCGGACATACTACGCATTCGAACGATTTCGATAGGCCCACTATATATTTATTGGAACTTCAAAATGTATCGCACAGGATTTGGAAACCTATGGAATTTTTTCACATCCGTCTGCTGTTGAAACGCTGAGCATCTTAAATATCTTAGATAGTGAACAAATAAATAACTTAGATCTACTCAGAGTAATGCATAAGCTTTGCAAATATTTCAAGATCGGGACCCTTAGGCTGAACACAAAAAACGTGGACAGACAAACAAGAAAACGGGCAAGCTGGACTTGATTCAGAAAACGAGTAACAGAAAGTGGAACTGTCTTAAGTACTTGTGGGTTTTACATATTGCATAGAAGCGCAAAAACTTAACCGACCCTACACCATAAATCACAAATGGAGCTTGAAATCAGAGCCTTCATCTGTTCCTTTGTGTGATGTGATATTAGGTCCCCCAGGATGAAACTTGTAACAAAAAGGGCTAAGTTTGCTGATGACTTATTTATGTAGAAAATTATTTTATTATCAAAATCTGCGCCCATATTGTCTACACACTGTTGCCATTTAAACAGCGACTTCTTCAGGGCGCTGGTATAAAACCCGGTCGGGCGAGATTCTATGAATTCCTGGAAGACCAGTTTTACTGCATTATCGGAATCGAAATTTTTCCCAAATTGCGACCTGAGGAGTGAGGAGGAGGATGATGAACAAGCTTTCCTTGAATTCTTGTAACTTTGCCAAGGCCATTTGCTCAATGCGTGGTCTGGCGTTATCTTGCAATAAGATAGGAGTCGATCTGTGGGCCAATCTGAACTGTTTTCCTTTAAGCATAATTTCGCCTTGTGGGTTACGGTGTATGTTTCTGTTGGGATCGATGCGCCCGGTTTCATAAAATCAACAATGAACAATACCTGCGCTAGACCACTTTGGAGTATGTTTTGGTGATTCATCACTGCGCTGTACCTTTGTGGTTGTCATTAATGAACCCATTGCTCATCACAAATGATTACTTGATTCCGGGCGACCGCGTGACTTATTTGTAAGATCAAAGTTATCGATGCGAATTTATACTGGAACCAGATACACTATTAATATTCGCGCGGTCTGCGATGCCGCAGTCCCACGTAGGAACTCGTACTTCACGACAGTACAAATCTCCGACCAATCGGAGTTGATAATCTTTTTTAGAGATTGGAATAATTTGCTTCCACGGGCAACACGTGTAACTTCCGAACAAAACAAACAGAACGACAAAATATTAAGCCATTGGACGATAACAAGCTGTCAAAGTTGGTTGGCAAAACTGTAAACTACAAGTTACAGCCTTGACGACCTGGCGGAACGGTCACTCGTGCGACGAATATTTTAAGTTTGTTGAATTTCCCGCAGGTACTTCGATTCAAACGACTATCTCCAAAAAGAGACATAGTAACCTTCAATGCTTTAGTTACTGCTTTTCAAATTGTTCGGTGAAAAAAGTCTGCTTGAAATTTTCGTAAATATGGATATACATGTATAGGTTTGAACTGATGGTGGCGGGTAACTAAAATTCATCCTGAAATAATTCTAATTTTCTTACTTACACAGATTTTGATTTATTCCTTTTTAAGATTAAAAATGATTTTCTTCTTTATATTATTATTATTGCAGGAGTTAGCAGCCTAAGCTTTAATCCGTTCACTCTGCCCACTTGTAATACACAAGGTTATAGCAGCAGCAACAGCGTTAGCAGTCAATTGGTTACATCAACAAAATAATATTATTATTAAATTGGTAAACTTTTATACACAAAAAATTTTTTTTTCTCAATAATTGAAAAATTTTGTGTAATATTTGCGCTATAAGATCTTGCAAAAAGTTTGCCAAATTTTCTTCCCCCATACGTAAGTATACCGGTTAATAATGAAAATTTCAAAAGAAACCTTAAAAATCGTTTTGTGCAAACCTTTTGGCAAAATTTTTGTACCTTTCCATATGACTTGTGGAAGTCGTTCCAACGGAATCTCTTTACTCAGCTGCTTAGGTTTTAATTATCACATTTTTTTTTAATTAAGTTAGTGAACCAAGACTTGAACGATTGGAAAATAACGATCAATTTAATATCACTTCTATCCTGAGATAACTTAAGGTTAAAAAAGAAAAAATACTTTCCAATTAATTTGGTCAGCTTTAGAACAGATTCAGGCAGATGAAGGCAGTTGTAATCAGATTTTTCCCCGCTTCATTACCAGCATTCTATGATAAATAAGTCAACGTATGTAAATGATCACGTCATCTTTAACTATCAGAATGAGTTTTAAGTGTAAATTTTTAAAAATAATTTCTTTTCTTGCTTATGAACTTTTGACATTGAAGTTAAGAAGAATTAAAATCAATGTTAATTAAACTCTAAATATATCTGAACAATTAATAACAGTCAAATTAAACGGATCTGATTTTTCTGAAAAATAGCTAAACTTCACAACAATGCCATGAAATAAGAAAAAATGAGCGACATTGATTTCTTTATCTAAGGGTCATTTCAATAAAAACTTAACTGTCAGTTAATAGCAAATCTGTTCCCCTGTAACTGCTCTAACTGCTATTGAAATTTAACTGTTTTCTTCCAGTTATCTATCGCTTGGCTGATAAAGCAACCGTGGGTTGAATAATATGTAATACGGCAGTCATTCACAATAAGTGAAAAAATTCAATAACAACGATCTAACTAACACTTACGAAAATCATAATTATTGATGAGAAAAGTAGTTAATTAATTAAACTTGTAGTTAAGAGCGCTTATACGCCTTCGGTTCAAGTTAGAACACTGAAATATAACGTATTTCTCACACAATGTTAAGTAAAGGCAAAAAGACACTAAAACCCAATTTCATATCTCTAGCTGATCTTAGCTCTTCTAATAAATAGCATATTTTCAGGAGACATCAATGGAAAGAGCAAAAGTATGTAGAATTAGTTTCTTGGCTTAGATAAAAAAAAAACGGTTTTCTTCAGAGATGTTATAAAAATGAAAAATTCAAATTTTCATACTTGACATGTTTTAACTGTGCGATATACTCGCACACTCGTCAAACATAGAGCATGTGTAATATAAGATTAGATAGACTTAGAAGAGACTTGACAAAATGACAAAATTATTTTCTAAAATACATTATTTTGAATGAAAAAATTTGGTGAGGAAATCCGACGAGGACGACTGGAATCGATCATGACGTATATATTCGTTATACATAATTAAGTGGTTGGCTAAGCATATCGTTAAGTTTTCAACAAATGTTCAAAAGATAAAAGCTGGCCAGTTAGTGCGTGCGGATCAGTGTACTCTTACGAGGATACGACACATGTATCTTAACACACATAGTTGCAAATAAATTTTCATTATTAATCGATAGGCTTACTACGAATTGGCCAAAAATACCTAAAACACTGTGCAATGCTTTATAAAATAGCGTATATGTATGCGTATGTATATGTATACGTATTTAATACCTAATATATATATAAATATTGTACAGATTTACTTTACTTCTGATCTTCAACTCATTGAGCGTAGAAGTCTGAAAGTCTTCTTGATATTATCGCCTGAAAATATTTCACACGACAAATTAATTTAAAAGATTTTCACATACGAATGATTTTCATCATTCACAAAAATATGTATACGAACAATGAAAGCAAAAATTCACACGTGCATACATAGCATGCGTACATATGTACATATATATTATGTATATAGATGATTAAAATTCATAACCCATTATATTATATATTATTAAAAAAATTTGCATAGAAGCATAATTTCAAAGCATATCAAACAAAAGATTATTAGAAAGAAATAAATAAATAAACAAATTTATAAAAAAAAATAAAAATGTAAACGCAATTTTTAAAGTCTTGAATTCTTAATAATATAAAATAAGAGAACAATTTTTCAAAAAATAATATTTACAACTCTATCATGTTTTAATATTTATATTGTATATATACATATATTATATATATATATATATATATATATAATATATTTATAAAATTAGCTAAGAAAAAATATCAAACAAATCGATTATTTAAATATATAAATAATTACAATTTGTACATTTAAAGAGAATGGATTAGGTTATGTAAACATGTCTGCTTTTCTAACAAAGGGTTTTTTATCAATAACTTTTATGCTAACAATTTTCGATTATGTTTTCATTTCATTTCAATATAAGAAAATTATATAAATTCTGTGTCCTCGCAAAAATATACATATATGTATATATATGTATATGAAATGAAATTAGAGAAAAATTTAGAAAAAAAAAAAGGCGAGAGGACATTGATTTATCAAACTTGTCAAATGCTTGTAACCTGTAAAAATATCCATTAGAGAAGTTACGCAAGATATGTATTCTTGGTGCGCAGGCAAAGCCGTGTTGAGCCAGTCGAGTCTGTCTGTTTGTTTGAAATCTTGTCGAGAAGAGCAAAGATATTCTCAAATTTGCCTTCTTATCCCTTTCATAAGTCCTCAGGCCACATAAGCGACAAAAAAGGAAATTTCTTTCATTTTAGTTTTGTCTTCAACTCGTAAGTTCGAAGAGCCAATTGTTTGTCCATTAAGGGCCGTTTCCAATGAAAATTAAACTGACGGTTAGATACATTTATCGTCCGCCTAAGAGAAAATGCATTTTCCGAACATCCAGTTATACTCTTACCGCTTTACTTAAATTGAACCAAGAGATTCCTTCCGGTTACCTGCCAACTGTTAAAAGAGTTGATAAAGACAATCATATGATTAACAAAATGAAACCGGAAAACTTTCCAAGGTTCACTATGAAAATCAATTAGGTACACTGAGCTCTACAGATATATTGCATTCTAAGCAATTCGCAGCTTTCTCCAATGATACCTATTATAATTTCCTCCGCCAAAATAATCTTATACTCCTTTCACAACACGAACAGAAGTCAACCACAAACAAACAATCTGTCTTTTACTCGACTGAAAGTTTATTTAAAATACACTGAGAATGGCGGTAGGAAAGGAGTGCGTGGCTACGTAACATTCAATTGGTATAATCATCTACAAAGTGCTGCCAAGGCCTATAAAATTACGAGGGGTTACGTGCAATACTATGAAATGTCGAAGAAATGAATCTTCGCAATCAAATATCGTACATCAATCGGTATAGGATATATACATAAATAGTCAACATCTCGTCTTCCAAATTCCAAAAGCCACTGTCAAGCTCCAGACGGTTACAGAATATATATGTAATGCAGTTGCGAAAATAAAAACTTTCATCATTTCCTAAAATTGCATCACTTTTTTTATAATTTATTACTATTTTTTAGTAAACAACAACATGCAGAGTGCTTTTGCTTGGGTACGCCCCACTTGCCTGCGAAAATATATATTTGGATAAAATAGTATCGAAACGAAAATTTATGACAGAATAAAAGCCAAGTTTGCAAATCAAAAATAAAGTAAACATAATATCAAAATAATAAAATTTTTTAAATTGTAAAAAAAAAAGAATTAAATAGTAATAGTTATTAAAATAGAAGAATTTTATTCGCTTAAGAGCGAATCATTTATGCCCACTATTCCTTGGTAACTGGAAGACATTTCGGTGAAACGTGATTTTCCTTAGTAAGGATATGAAAACAGAAAAGATATAAATACTTAATTTAATATTGTGGAGACTACCCAATACATATGCAATTCTATAAGTTATTAAATCTGTTCGATGCAGAAGGACTTCAGTTCAAGTCAAGTTTTTAGTTCATGAACACGAAAGTAGTCATGCTAATCTCAAAGAGAAAACATCCGCTTGTCTGTATGTTTTACGAAAGTGATGTCAAATTAAAAATAGCAATTCTATTTTTTCTTCTTCTTCTTCAACGTTGCAACAACCTTACCACTAAATATTGACAGGCTTATGAAAGCTTAACCTATTTAAGCCTTGCCCAACAACTTAACGTTGCTCGTCGCTTTGTGTCGATTGCAACCGCTTGCTAACTAATTTCAGTTTTCGTTTGACCCGGCCCAAGGAATTGTCGATTTTCATGAAATCTTGCCTATTTTGATATCGAAGCTATTATGGGCACACTCGACGGAGCATCCAAGAGCTGGATATGATCCTTGTCTATTGCAATCCCTCCCTATTTTGCCATACTCACCAAAAAATTGGTCAGTTAGATGCTCAAGTCTTTTCTACGCGAATCTTCCAGATGACTATGAGTTCGCCGCAACTAACTTTGGAATAACTTTGACAAATTGATCAGTTAATTAATCAGTTCCCATTATAGAAGACATAATCGTGTCGTGTCGTTGCTTACCCCGGATTGATCGAGCCGGCCGATTCAAACAGCAATACACTAGATATTTGCATCTATTTTGATCAGCGACATCGGATCTGATGAGAACACTAAAGTGACACAAGTATCAATACGCGCAACGGTTAAATTCGGTGATGTTGATTTTTCTGTGCATAAAATAACACTTCATTCCATTCAGCATTATTGAGTTATTCAGTGCATACAGACGCTAATCAGGGATCACTCGAAATTGCGTTTTCGACATTCGTTGCTTTTGTTTTTGATTTGAAGAAATCTGCTACCGTAGCCCATCAAACACTTATAGCGAAGCTTATAGCGAAGCTGCTTCAAAGAACGGGCTGAAGGATCCAAAAAGGTCGAGGACAATGACTGCAAAATTTATTGAATGAAAACCCAAAGCGTCAAACCCTCAAATAACTTTCGGACCCTTTAGCAATTAATAAATCGACTGTTTTCAGACTTTTAGATGCGTTGGGAAAGGTCCAAAATGAGCGAGCATGGCTACCGTACGACTCGACTGAAGATGCCATAGCAAGCCGTTTGAATATCATGGTTCCATTGCTTGCCGGACAAAATAACGCCGAAAAAATTTTCTTTGTCGTATTGTGACTGGCATGGAAAAGTGTATCTACTGCGACAACCTGCCATCCACGACCACTCTGCAATGGAATACTCCCGGCCATAAAGGTTTGCAGAGCGTAAGGTGTAGCCTACTATTTCGACTATTACTAAAAGCGATGCGGTTGTCCATCAAAGTCAAACGAACAAATTGAACGACATTTTACTACAAAAGAGAGCAGCAATAGCGGTTAACGGTCGCAAAGTCATCCTCTTGCACAATAAAAGTCGGTAAAGCGCTGCAAAAGCTCTCAAACTACAAACGCTGATACACTGTTGGAGCTCGAATGGGAAGTTCTTCGCCAACCAGTGTGCTTACCGGAAATGTTGGCTTCTGATAACCACTTGTCCAGATTGGTACAGCTGGCCAGACTGTTTAGCTGGCAAATAGTTTCGAAGTTCTGAAGAAGTGTGAAAATGAGTCGAAGGGTGGATCGCTGACAAACTAATATCGTTTCGTATTTCGACACGGTGCGGTCATGTTGCCAGAACGATGAGAAAAGTGTGGAAAATATTTCGACTAATACGTAGAGATTGTTCTCGATAAATATATTTTTCAAGTGAAAAAAATGATCAGAATACATGCAAGCATAATACATTTAGATTTTCATATATTTACGCATTCAAAAGTCCATTTATATCCCGCATAGGTATGAACTCGTAATGAGGTAAATTGTTTGATATGCTGTCTCGTCATAAAATCCAAAAAGCTTTTCTATCAAGCTGGTCTTCGTCTCGGTGTTTCTCTATCAATCTTCGTCGCCAGTGTGCTATTAAAAATGACTTCTCTCCTACGCTTCTCCTAGAGCAAAGTGACATAACTGAAACTCCTTACACCGCCAATGAGCATAACTTGCTTTGTCAGCGTAGGCCTTTAGAAGATTGCATCAATAACTGTTGCATATATACCTGTTGATCTTAAGTAAGTAACCGGCTTAACCTATGGTTGGTGGGTATAATTGTGTTGAATAAATTTACAAAAATTAATATATACAAAAAAAAAAAAAAAACAAAAATGCATATCTCTTTAAAATAAATATTAATAATAATTGCCGTTAACAATTTTATACAAAACTTAAATATTTACTTACTACAGTTTCACACAAAAGCATTCACATATCAAAAACTTAGTTTGGCAGTTTTTTTGATGTGCCGTTGCATTAGCAACTACTCTTACATATGTTCGCGTTTGCATTTGTATATAACGAATCATTTAATAATGTTAATTAGTTTAAGTTGAGCAACATATATTAAATAATTGTTGATTATTTAAACACTTTAGCTTCTCATTTGATAATCGATTGTTTAAAAGAATAAAAATAAATGTGAAGAATGTAAAGGCTTTGAATTTTTGTAAACTATTTATTTACACACACCCATATTAAACACATTTTTCAATAAAGTTAATTTAAATAAAATTGAAGCAAAAAAAAAAAAAACATCAATTTATAATAATTTTAGATTTTTATTATAAAAATATAACATAAACATATATTTATTAAAAAAAAATAATAATAAGAATAACAATAATAATAATATGATAATTGAAATGAAATAAATATAAAATCGATAAATTTTACGATATTTCCAATAAAAAGAAATGAAACAAAAATTATATAATAAAAATATTATGAGAAATGATTAACAAAAGTGAATTCAGTCATTTTTTTGGATTTGCATAGATTTTCGGCACAGTTTTGCGGATAATAATAATAACAATAATAATTTTATTCATGAACATGAACCGAACTATACAACCGAACTATTTATCCTTTTCGATATTGAGTCTGATTTGCTTTCATAGATGAGACACCGAGTAAGAAACCTCTGCGATATTAAATAAGTCAAACAAGTCTCAAATTAACGGTCACAAGAAAGCACAACGCAAATGTGTTTTCTAGTTACAATACAGTCGCATCACCCGTATCCGATGATGGTGTTCCGCATCAATAGTCAAAATGAAATTTTTCAGCATCAATTTCGTTGGCAAGAGAAGATCACTAGGCCACGAAAAGTCAAAAAGAAGAAGTTGCTGGCTTGTGCTATGTGATGTATGAAGTCGTTCTATCTCAGAATTCGATTTCAATCGTCCACTTGACTATTCGCTCATATACAGCCAGCGGGCCATGCAGCCGTTATGTAGTTTTGTTTTATCGAAAGGCACTCTCTCTCTCTCTCTCTCTACATCACTGTGCTTAATACGCTAAAATGTTTACAGGTTAAGGGCACATGTCCCATTAAAGACCTCGTTTGGGAAGTTATTTAAGCATCTCTGTCGACTGATATGGTTCAAATCTACCTCAAAAAGTCGCCCTATCTGATTCAAATTGTCCACTTGTGTCGAGGAATTGTAAACAAAAATTTGCGTTTTTTATCCGTAACAATTATTGTTGTATTGCAATTGATGTAAATGAACGTTATTGACGAGCAAGCTTAAATCGATTTAGAAAATTTGATACTGATCAAGAATATGTATGCTATGTGGGATGTCTGATGCTTCCTTCTGGGCGTTGCAAACGTTTCGAGAAAATGAATATAAAGCTCATCCTTCGGTGATGGGTATAACATCGAAGGAAGTGAATGCACGACAAAGTTGTTGGTTGCCCCGTAGCAATTGCGAAATATTAATTCGCTCTTTTTTGCAAGAAATCCTGCCAACTTCAACTCTTCTTCTTCTTAAAAGTACCCATCCTATCCTAATGTAGGAGAGTTACCTTCTTAATCATTAACAATTTGCAATTTTCTTTATTTATACAACGACTTTTATAAAGTAAGGCGTTCTAAGCGACGCGGTCACAACAGTGTTTCGATCCGAATTACTTGCAATAGATTTCGTTTCTGGGCGAAAACCCGTCATTGGTTACAAATTCCACCAATCCGCAGCCTAGGTAGGTTGAACACAAAAATACATGGACTGAAACCAGAGGGATAGACGGACGGACGGAGAAACAAGCTTAGATCGATTCAGGAGGAGACGCTGAATAAGAAAAAAAAAAGTAAATTTATTTCAACTCCTTCTGGACGTTACATACATCTGCACAAACATAATATACCCTGAGACCAAAAGTGGTGTAGAGTGCAACAAACCATTGATAATATATAAAAGTTGCGCTTTCCCCCATAATGCGTGTACACTTTGTACACTTTTTTGGACAGTATTCTGACGAGCATAAACTCCTGCTTCTTAAGAAAACTTGCGCTAGAACTGGCGCGCTTTACTTCTGCACACTTTGCAACTGGCACGCCTTACTTCCGCACACTTTTTATACATTCTTCTTTTTGCGATTTTTCAAGTTTAAAAAATTAAAAGTTGTTGTCATTTTTAAACTGTCATAAGTTTGTTGCCTACCTATTTACTCTTTAACTTTTACTTTTATTCATTTATGAGACATCCTGTGTTTACGCAGATGAAAGCTTTTCACTTTTTATATATAAGAAAAATCAAGAAAGTTCGGTGTGGCCAACACACAGACTGAGGTAAATTATAAATAAAATTTAGTATCTGATCGATCGATAAATCCTACGGTTTGTACGTCTGCTTGTCGGCGCCTGACATCTCTGTGACGAACATAAATAGTTACCTGGCCGCAAAAGTAAAATTGGCTTCATTTCCGTCTAGGACTATCTCGTCTGTTAAAGTGTCAATTCAAATTTTGCTAAGCAAACGATTGTGGTTAGTTGAATCCTTAATTAAGAAATTCATTCCTTAAAACACAAAATGTTTCTTTAGGCCCACTAACTTTCATTTACCACAATGTTGGAAAAATCACTCCAATTTCCTAAATTCAGTGAGCACGGAGTTTTCCTGTTTGGAAACTGAAACATGGTTCATCGCAACTTTTTCACATTTCTTCCTAGTTTTGCTGAACGAATCGTTTGATCGCAATTTTGATATCGTTATCATTGATCTTGCATTTTATGGATGTCCACCTATGTGGACAAACGGTGACAACGTCTGGTATGACGCAGCAAAATATTCTGCTTGAGCTGGACTTTGACATTTTAAAGGTTCGATATATAAATAGCATTTACTGATAGAAAAGATCGCAATAACGTTCATAAATTGCTTTGATATTGAAGGACGATGCAGTAAAAGCTTCAAAAACAAAACGTTTTTAGGTTACAAAGAGACTCATTTTTAATTTTCGATCATTTTCAACTTTAAATAAACCATAAATATACTGAATCACAATTCTAGCAATGCTTCTGCTAACGATAAAGTTTAGTTAACCCTGTTACAGTTTCAAAAGTATTGCAAAACAGAAATGAAAAATTTTATTTTGTTTGTATATGTATCGCGGAAATACTTTGAGTTATTTGATTTAAATGTTAAGAGCACCCTCTAGCGACGGTAAGAAAACTATACTTTATAATCAAACTATACCTGTGTCAAACTAACTTGTGGTTTCTTTTTGAGCAACACACACGTTTCCGTTTGTCCGGACGTACGTAACACCCAGATAAATTCAGAACTATTTCATGCATTCTTGTGGTCACCCTAAAGGTCCGTCAGGTGTTTTGATGAAATTTGATACACTAATGTGTTTGGCCCAAGGTCGAATGCTATTAAAAATGGTACTGATCGACCACTCCTAATATAACGCCTTACTTTGATAAACCTTTATTTGAAAAATATAGTAATTTTCAGCTAATCGCAACAAAAATCGCTGCGTAATAGTATTCAAGCTTTCCAAATTGGTGGAAAAAATTGTAATCGGATGGGGCAAATTCTTGAACCGGCTGTCATAGAAACGTTCTTTCGGAAACTCAATCTCTATATGGTAAAAATTTCTAATTTTCAATATTTCCCAATGAAATTTCGGGCATGATAAAAATTTGACATAAATCATAATTTTACGAAATTTGGACAACGTAGGTTTTTTTCTGGAACTCACTTATTGACAAATAAGTGCTTTTACTGCAAAAATATTCGATGTTTAACATTTTATGATGAAAATTGGTTCGTAAGCGTTTCTGATGTAAAACTTAAATCAAATAGGTCTTTCCCTTAGATTCCATCATATAAATGAGCTGTCATGAAAACATTTAAAAATTTATAGCAATAACGAAAAAGGGAAATGATATATTTATCTTCCCATACAACGCATATATGCTGCTCCAAGTTGTTAGATCGATTTAGTAACATCCGTTCATCCATACGATATTCTTTCTGCATGTCTAGGTTATGTCGCGATATGCACTTTAATTTTTTCTTCAAACTAGGTTAGCAGCAGCAACAACGACAATTACAAAAACAACAACATCTGCAATATTTACAACATCTCGATAAGAGGTAATGCAGGAGATTGTAAACTGGTTAATAATACCAACTTGACTGTATCAAATTTGCGCTGAGTACGTCTATATTTTCAACATCATCCGACGTAGGAGTTTTCATGAAAAAAGTCTACTTTTTAATATATTATTATTTAATTAATTAATATGATACTCCGCCTGGAATTGACGATGTACATTTGTCTTTATCGCAAAATGTTCCTGCATCGGGAATACTATTTAATATACTAAATAATATACTAAATAATATACATATAATATACACATAAGAATATGATAAATCAAAGACAAGCAAATTTTTCGCATATTTACGCTCGAATAATTTTTAAATTGTAATATTGTATTTTTTGTAATAACCAAACATATTCAATAAAGTTAAACAAAGAACGAAAAGCAATTGTTTGGTTGTATAGGTTTGAGATTTCAAAAAGTTTCTTTTGCTTTGATATGTCATGTTAACAGAGCTTTTTAATTCTTTTTTATCTTTTTACATTGTTTTAATTTAACAGATATAAATGCCGGCGGCATTGCAATTTAGCAGTTTATTTCGCTACTGCCTTGCCTTTTTGACAATTGACATTGAGTAAAAGCTAAAAATGCATTTTCGTTGGCAATGGGAACGAAGAAATATCTTTAATTTTAGTTTACTTTATAAGGTACCGATAAAATGCAGCCTTAAATGGTTAAAAACGCTCGCCTGAACTAGCAAAGAGTCGTTTACAGCTTGGCATCAACAATATTCAAATTGCAGAGTTAAATTATTTTATTACCGAGAATTTTAGTTATGTGAAAAACGTTTTGTCTTTTGATTTGTCCCGTACATTACTGAATGAGTCTTTTTCCCTACTTTATCGAAGAACTCGTATCTTCGAGATGAAAAATTACAATAGTAGTAATAATAATAATAATAATGATATGAATAGTAATGATGATGAATAGTAATAATAATAATGATAATATCAATAACTTATTCTTACATTAATACTTGCTATTTTGGGAAAATGTACTCTAAAGAGAAAAATTCTCGAAAAAGAATTTTTTCCAGATACAGAAAAAAATTTTGTAAGAGAGTCAACTCTTTTTCTTATTGACAGTTACGAAAAATTTCATGCCCGTTGAGGCAACCTTATCATCAACGTTAAACGGAATTGATAGTGTTTGGTAACTCTAATCGATAAAAACAGGTACAACGGTTTGTGTGAAAAAAATTCCTGAGAAAATTTGTACAAATTAAAGTCCAAAGTATTGAAAAATTATGAATAGTTAAAAAAGATATATGTTCAATTTGCTGAATTCCTTAATATTTAACTGTTTCGGTTGAGTTGCGGAAAAATTATTTAAAGGAAAATGAACGAAAGAGATCAAAAATTGGCTATGTCATTTAGTATATGAGCGCACAAAAGAGATAGAGCATAAACGGGAAAAAAAATTTACGGCGAATTACATATGTGTGCAGAATCGGTCACAGTAAGAGTAAGAAAATACTAAAGAGGAAAATAAAAGATCTGCCTTTTTTCGTGCTTCGTATAAAATAAAGTAATTTCTTAAAGTTGCCGAAATAAATTCTAAATAAAAATTTGCGATTATCAATTATTCGTACCGATCAAGTGTATTAATGAGTGCTGTGTACAAAAGTACGGGCGTACAAAAGTTTCAATTGCGAAGAGTGTAACAGCTGACAACGCAGAGGAACTTCTTTTTATCTATGTCGTGTGCGACGGCTAAGACAACGGAGCGACGGTTTACTGCTAAACCTTTTTTTTACGCCCACCGCGTTGTGAGTGAATCATTTTTTTTTGTTTTTGTTGCCTCAAGAGAAATATAACAAAACATTTTTCATTAATTTCTAAAAAAGTTTAATATTAGCTCTCAGTAATAGTTACAGAACGTATCTGAAAGTGGTCTGACCGAAAATCTTCGTATTAGGAAAAAAAGAAAAGGAATCTCTTCGATTTTTTGTAAATTTTAGTAAGGCAAGTGCAGAAAAAAAAAAAAGTTGTTCGTGTCACGGTGAAAGTAAGCGGACGCAAAAGCACTTGAAAATCTGTCTTGACCAAAACGTCAGAAGACAACAAAAACCAGTAGAGTTGTTACACACTCCTCCTCTCGCGACTTTATTCATACAGATAAGCTGTGCAGCGGCCGTCCACTGTGCTGCTCGCGAAGCTGTTACGGTAACGGCTGCGACTTACAACAGCAACGGCTCATTTTTGTTATTGCACTTTTGTTCATTCGTATTGTACTAAAGACTAAGTACTCGCGGTGTGTGAGTGATTGATTAACTGAGTGGCCGACCTATTGAGCGGCGAAGAGTAATAATAATATCATAAATTCTTTAAAATAAGATATAATTAATAAAAGTGTATTAAATCAAGAGGAAAAAAAGAAACATCGCATAATGGACGAAACATTAGAAATACGTCAGGTAAGTTCACTTATCCACACTTTTATATATGTAACTAGTAATTAATATCGTTGTTGTTGTTGTTGTTGGCGTTATTGTTATTATTGTTGTTGTTGCTGTTGGCGGTGTTTCTGCGGTTTGCTTAAATAATTGTAAAATAATTTTCCTAACATAAGTATTCATTGTAAAAACAGTTCATGTTCAGAGGCATCTTAATTGTGTTGCATGTGCAGCATTATCATGTGCAGTTAACAGTTTTGGCTTTGTTCGTTTATAATGTATCCATGCGTCCGTCCGTTTATCGTTTATATAGAGATTTAATTAATCTGCGGTTTTTTCTCCTTTACTTGTTTTTCTTCAATTACATTTCTTACGTTGTCTGCTGGTTTGTTGCCTGCCCACCAGGTGTATATGGCATGTACATGTATTTTTATACATATATATATATATACATATATATATATATACATATATATATATATATATATATATATATAATATAGGAGCAATAAATCTCTTTGGAATATAACATTCTTACCAAGTTGTTTAGTTGTCTAGCTTGTACGTAGTTGTGCTGTGTTGGTATCGTTCGCCTACATCTATTGCCAAAAGAGTATCTGACAACATTTTTTCTGCTATTCTAGTTTTTATTTTATTTTTGTTATCGGTTTTGTTATTGTATAATAACAATTTCAATACATACGTTCATTCATTCATTCATTTATTTATTTATTTCTCTAGTATATAGCTGTTGATATATAAATATATAAATATCAATACACACATACATATATAAAATTTACTTACTTGCAATATTGGGTTTAAAATATGAAGCTACCTGACGTGAGTGATGGCATTAAGCTGTTGATATGAAATAAATTCAAAAACGTACACTTCAATTGTTTTGTCTGCCTTCGATATGAGCTCATTGTGTGCTGTATTAAGCTTTATTCTGCTTTTTTGATGTAATTCTCAATTAGAAAAACTATACTTGTTTTAGGGGTCGAAAATGCTATTTATCTGAAAATTTCTCTTTTTAAAATTGTTAAGAAGGATATGTGTTCGTTTTTTTTTTCGTTGTCAATGCGAACAGTATCCTGCACGTGTATAGCTTCTACTACAAGCATCACAAGATCAAAATGCATTTCTTCTACAGTACATTGTTATCTTCTTCCAGCTTAGAGATCATCATTACTGTAAAATCTATTCTATAGTGTCTATGATGTATGTGTTTTATCTACGCACTCCTGAAACACCCGTTAACAGTTCTTATTAGCCCTTATTTATTACTTAATGAAAGACATTTGCGACAAAAAAATTGATCCAATATAATGAACACACCTGATAATATACTTATAATACATATTTTAATAGTTTGTACAGTAAAACCTTGGATTAGGTCATTGAAAGATATATCTGCATGAGCAAATATATTTAATTGAAGAAAACTGATTTTTTTTGGACCAACAAACTACTCTCCATTAAGAAAGTTATTGTTGGCTTCAGGTGTATTTTTGATGTCCGTCTGCTCAGCTCATGTCAAATCGCATAAAAGTTGTTGTTATATGTGAGTGTGTAATTTGACCATCGGGAACAATTGCCCAATCAAATTGTAATGATTTTTCTATGAAGATTTGGATTACTCTCCGCTCTAATTAGTTAATTTACTTTATTTTACAATTCCAATCAGCGATCATCAACTAAGGCAGTTAGATATAATTTGATGAAAAAATGAAAAAAAGCAAAAGAAATTTATTTGATTTTCTTTCTGCCTTCCTTCACTTTCAATATACTTCCTCTTCGATATAACAATACTAAGAGGATCAGAATATTTTGTTTAAAAAGAAGAAGACAAAGAAGGTGAGAAATAATTTTTCCAAACGGTGAAAATTAATCTTAATATTTTACAACTTTCTTTGTGAGATCTCTTCTTCCACACTTACATTATATATTCTTATCTTCGCTGCAAAGGAGCATAGGCAGTACGTGGGTCCAAAAAATTGTCCTCCTCAAACTAGGTAAATTAAAGAAATAAACTCAAGAAACTCCTGCTAAGTATTCTGAATCAATTTAGCGATCTCCTTCCATCTCTTCAGTGTGGCATCAGTTGTTGAAACGTGCGCCCGCACTTTAAAGCAAGCAAAAACGCTAGAATGGCGGACACTCTGCACCGCTAAATACTCTACACTGCATCGCTTAATACAATTATTCATATAATGATTTTTTTAATAGCCTTCGACATTGGGCCAACACATGCATCGACCAAACTTCATCGAAGTATTTCGGAAATTGCGACCTGTAGATTTAACACAAGAAAACGAGAGAGACAGTGGGGAGAGATGGACAACTTTACAAATACTCTCCCGTTCGACCGGTATAATAAAAGGAGGATGTGTCTCAAATCTTTCTGAGTGTTGAACACCTACAAATTTAATATACCCTCGTATCACAGGGCGTAACAGAAGAATGCAAGGATGTGGCGATACCATAGAAGACATTACTTTTGAATTGAAATAATTTAATAAGAATATAAGAATAATTTAATTTAATTTTGTAATTTTTCTTAATAGGAGTTTTTGATAATCCTCTTAATGTCGGATGTTAATTTCATAATTTCTTTAAGAACAATTTAATAATAATACGCTCTCCTTAATTTTATCATATTTAAAAAAAAGGTTATACTCCTCTTAAGCGGAATCCCGCGCGCTCATTGCAACGAACAGTCTTTCGTGATCCGCTTTTAATACCCGTACGATCCTGTTCGAGCCAAAGCACATATTGATATATTATTTCTAATTTATTCAATAAAGATAATACGTAAATGTTGTGGAAAGCCGGAGATTATTGATCCCAATGCGAAGAATATGGCATTAAAGAGAGATGTTTATGTAAATAAAAAAGGGGAATTAATTTAAGGAACACAAATAATGAAATTTCTTAATTGCAGATCCATTATATTATGCCTTTCGAACCTTGTTTTTTCATTGGATTCATCTGGAAGAGATTTGCATGATTACTCAGTCCATCGGTTGACTTTAAATTTGAAAATTGAATTTGATTTTTAATAACATTATCATGGATAGTTTTTTTGCAGACGAACCATAGCGTGGTAACAATTAGACGAAGAGCTTTACTTTAGTTTTTGAGCAATAATTCAATATTTTAGTTACATTAGTGTCCACTATCACTGGCACTGTTATCCAAAGCTAGGCGGCAGAGCGTCTTGCTGAGTTAAGCTGAGTCGCTTGCGTGAGCGAGCATATTGTATTGTCTCTCTAACGCAGTCGTTGATCATTATTTATAATCCGAGATTTCATACGCGACGATTGTTATCGGGGATATTATTGCCATTCAAAATGTGGAAAGGACAAAGACCCTTAGTCTGTCTGAACGTTATATGCGAAGGTTGTCGACCATTTGTTTTAACATTCCAATTAATTTAGTCAAAGCAAAATTCTGTCAAGATAACAGATGTTGACAAATCAACTTAAAACAACTAAGCAGATTATATTCGCTTTTTATGCTCCACTGTGGCTCCTGCCCTGGCCAATTTGGCTAATTTTCAATGCCAACCTCAGTGCAAACACTTCCAAATTTGAAGGCGATATCTCCATTTTTTTGACCAGGAGAGTGCCAACAACAAACATAACACACACACACACACAAACGGACAGACATGGCGAAAACAACTCCGAATGCCACGCTGGTCAAGAATATATATGCCCTGTAGAGTCTCTGAAGTTTTCTTCCGGGTGTTTTATACATTATGAGAAAAAAAAAACAAAATGAGTACGCTTCCATCTTACAGTGGGGGGGTATTATAAAAGAGAACAGTCTCAATTTCTTCAGCTATCGGGTATAGAAACGCTAACAGATTATAGTAAGCAACTTTTTTAACAAACATCCTAAGTAAGAAAATTTGCCTAAACAGTCCTAATGAGATTCGTAATAATAACGGTATAACTTGACCCTCATACTTTTGACCATCTCTCATTCATCATTAATTTATTTGTTTTGTCTTTTGTAGCTTTGGCTTCATACATTTGAAGATAAAACTCTCTTACGCCTTATTCGTGGCTATGGGAGTTACGGTTATAGCTAAGAATTTCGCATATTAAGAGCTCATGTTACTGAATCTATTGAATAACTATCGATTTTGTAAGGCTTTTATAGTTGAGTTGAGTTAGGAATTGTCTCAATACCCTTTCTGCGTATGTCCAAAGCTTAAATTTTAATTGATAAATTCACCATATACAGCATAGATTTTGTAATAGCGAAACAACTATAAAAGTTAGTAATAATAAAAAAAAATTAGTTTCGCTTTAAATAGAACGGTTATGTACCTCACGCTTATTGATTTGCGACTTTTAATAATAAGACATGAGTATACGAAAGAATGAATATTTTACTGAAAACAAGCAAAAAGACTTTATTAGACCACAGCCCACCAGAAAATGCCCTACACTATCCTGCATTATTCATATGGCGGTATTTCATAATAAAGCGTCATATGGGAAGCCATCGAAAAAGTGGAACGATCCGAACCATTTTCAATAGCATTCGTTTTTGGGCCAAGAACACGGCAGTGTACCAAACTTCAAAAAAATATCCGAAAACTTGCGGCCTGTAGGTTGAACATAAGAAAAGAAGACAGACGGACGGACAGAGAGGCTCAGATTGATTCAGAAAGTAAAGCCTAATAAATTGCATCGAAATACCTCAAAAATTGCGACTTATAGGCTGGGCACAAGCAAACAAGTCGGATGGACGGATAAGCTTAAATCGATGCAGAAAGTAATTTTGTATCGATGGATTAAATAAAAGACGGGTCCATCTCATCCTCTTGTAGATGTTGCAAACAATCGCGCAAACTTCTGTAGCTCATACGGGAAGCGGCGTAGAATATAGTAAGAGACTAAGAGAAGTGTAACCTGCGCTGCAAGTGTAACTGCATTGCGGTATATTTTTCAGTGCAACCCATACGAAAATGTGCTGCCATATCTAAAATACGTATATATATATATGTGTACATAAAGGAAGGATTCGAAATCAGATTTTAAATCGTAAATTAAGTTTGTGAATGCTATGTTAAATGTGTTTTCATGGTCATCGATTTTCCTGAACATGTTGATGGGTACAGCAGTGCAAACTTGTATGCTTTCCTTCACTAGCCTGACTAATTTAATATACCGACCGTAATGAATATAAAATGCCAGACAAAGGCATAATGTGTAATGTACATTTTGATAAAAGTAGAAGGAAGGGCTTGTCTACTACATAGTGTAGTCTTTGTGTATATATTATTATATATGCCGCTACCTTTCTATTCATATTTGTATAGATTTGCAGAAGTTTTTTTAATTTTTTATTTAATTTGTTTGCAACTACAACTAATGAATTGACATCATTTCGCATTAATAGAGTCATACATATCCTATTAATAGCGGTATTCAGGCTCTGGGCAGAATTGCTTTTTCTCTCTGTCTTCCTTCCTTACTCTCATTCTCTGTGTGCAGTGCATTAGAGTTCTTAATAATCGTTTATACATATTCGCTAAAACGAGTACAAAATTATTGCAGAACAATAAAAATCAAGAAGATTATCTGTGCCCAGAAAGCTGGAACCATTTACAGTAAATGATTAATTGTGCAGTGCACAGCATTCTGTATACTGTGCAACTGGAGGAGAAAGAAAAAACGAAAGAAAACATGCAATGCTTTGTATTTTTTTTTTTCTATTTTTAATTTTCTTTTAAAATAATCATAACAAAAAAAAAAAAACCGGCATGTATATGTAAAGTAATCGCTGGTTATAATAAGTGTTTTGTAATGCTTTTCTTTAACAGGCCAGACATCGCGCTTCGGTCAAGTGGCTGCTATCGAAAGCCTATAACAATCGTGTGCCGGATAATTTAAAGGAGCCATTCTATCGTGATCACGAAAATCAAGAACGACTAAAACCGAAAATAATTGTAGATTTGGGTAACGCGACGCTCTATTGTCAAACCTTATCGAATTTGTATTCGGATCCCAATTATCAAAGTCTAAATCATTGGTCTATACTGCAGACGCTGGCACGCAAAGGTGTCCCTGTTAATGAATCCAAAGACATGCCCCTAACAGAGACTGTTCTAATTCAAACAAATCCTTTACGAATAGTAAGTATTGTCGTCAATCCTCGCAAAAAATTTCATAACCGATTTGATTGAATTTTTTCTGATTTTTTTCTTTTAGATGGCTCATATGGCCGTCATAGAATCGTTAATGTTGTTGTTTGCGAAGGAAATAGCATCTGGCGATCGAGTTAATAATGCCATAAAAAGGTAGATTGAATTCTATTCTCAAGAATAAATGATATGAAAATAATAACACGCGAGTTTTTATAACGAAATTCTAGAATTTCTGGTAGCAATTATCAAAGTCCAGCCGGCGCCAATACTGAGCAGACGCTTTTATCATGGGTTTCTTATACTTGTTCAGCGCTTAAGAAACGCGTCGAACGTGATATATCTACAGGTGTAACCGATGAACAGGTATACAATTTTATTAATAAGAAATCGTTAAGTAATTAAATCTTCATTGTACGTAATATTATTATAATAATTAGCCCCAAAAATTCACTGCATGTAAATAGAAATTGCCTAAATGCAATACATAAAAATGTTAGCCTTCTACTATTATTATTTTTTTTCTTCCATTAGCTTTACTATTCGCTACTTCTATCAAGTGGGCTGACGATTAAGATAACCAGAAGTTAGAAAACTTTTTTTTTTTTTAGTTAAAGTATTGTTTAATAATTTTTTAACTTTCTACCGCTACTGCTTTTAAGGCAAATACTAAAAGTAACTTATAGTGTAATTTACACGCGCGCTTCTATGACGTACATAAGTGTAATTGGACACTTATGATTCCACTAAATGAAATCACTTTAGTAAATTTTTGAACTAAAAACTTTGCGATGGCAATGAATATATATATCATTTATAGTTTATTTACATTGGTAGACGACTTCAGGTCATAGTTTTGTATTTTGTATTTGTATTTACTTTTCTCTCACTGCATTTATTTAATGAATTTTGCGTCCACAAAGTTCGCAAACAAGTTAGGGAACTTTTTAAACTAAGAGCCACTTTAAAATTTTTTTTGATATCACGAGATATTTTTACGCTTCCTATTCAAATTTATATTAAATTTACGAAAGGCCGTTTCGAGACTATTCCGAACTATTTGATTCTTTTTAAACCAAAATAAGGTTTGCCTTTTATTGCAGTGATATGGGAATGATATGTAATAATCATTGATATTAGTAATAATCGCTAGTGATAGTAATGGCAATAGGCGTGGTAACACTAATAACGACTGTAACAATAGAAAAAAATTAGTAAATAGAATAGTAATAGAATGAAATAACAAATACGATAAATAGTAAAGAAAAAATAGTGAAAGTAAGAGCAATGGTAATAAACAGTAAGACTAACAGCTAGAGTGAGAGTGATAGTGATAATAATGGGCATAGTGAGTGTAAGCCTTCATAGTGGAAGTAATAATAATAATATTAACTAATGTGCTTAATGACACACAGGGCTTAGTTGCACAATAAATTCCACAGTAATATCAAAATAAAAAAATAAGAGCCCATTTTTATTAAATAAATCGTAACAATAACTTCAACACAAAGAAATTTAACCGAATTGTTCTTTTAGGTTATAAGCAAGCTTACCGGTAATATAAAGAAATTATGCCACTGAATAAAATTTAGTTTACATTCTATTAAAATTTTTAGTTTTTAAGTCGACCTATTATTATTGAAATTCGAACAGACTAAAATTAAAAATTTTGATTGACATGTACGCGCCTTACGTGCATTTGACGTGAAGACAATAGTAGTAGTAGCAATAGTAATAGCAGCAGTGATGGTGATAGTGAAAGGGAAGGGAGTAATAGAGATAGTATTAGCAACGGTATAAACAAAAGTAATAGTGATAGAGATGAGGATAATAAGAATGATAATAGTAGCAGTAACAGCCGTATTAGCAATAGTAATAGCGGTAGCGCATGCTTTCCATGCAGACTGCTTAAAAGCATTCGATAAGGATAATAGTATCATGACATGAGATGTGCAGTGCTTGTGCAAACCGTACTGGGGGAAATTGGAAATGATGCTGAACACAGAAGAATATTGATTTATACATTCTAAACAATGTTGACGTAATTGTTCCCATACTGAGGAAAGCAACGATTACAGAATGGATTTTCTTTTAATTTGTATTGTAGCGACCTACCACTACGCCCTTAGGAAAAGAAAATATTTGCGTTAATTATAGAAACAATATAAATATTGTTCGTAACATTAATATTATGTATATATGTATGTACGTAAGTAAGTTAATAAGAAAGTATACACTCTTCTGCGGTTTTCTTACAGAATTTATTGCTTTTTACAAATTTGTTACATTCATTTCTGATTGTAGGGCAAGCGATTGCAAACACCCGACATACCACCAGTGCGAGATTTTCAAGATCTTTGTGATGGTATTTGTTTAGCTCTGCTCCTCTCTTATTATTGCCCTAAAGCAGTGCAATGGACGGATGTGCGTATCAATTACTTGCCAGCAGTGGAGGATTCCATACACAATGTATTAATAGTCAGTAATTTCTCCGAAAGACATCTACCCTATAATGTGTTCCATATGCTTCCAGAAGATATTACATATATGAGAGGGTAAATATATTCGTTGAGCAGTTGACAGTTGCTTTAGAAGTGAAAAAAATATCGATTCATAAAATTTCATTTTTTAGATCAATGAAATTAAATTTGTTAGTATTATTGGCTGACTTGTTTAACCTCTTTGAAATTCATCCGGCCAATTGTGTGAACTATCCCGGCATGGACTCGCTAGGTAAGCTAATTGTTTTTTCTCTCGTTTTATTGTCTCGAGGAATATGGGCTCTTAGATATGTAAGTGTAAATATTTATATATATACGATCGCAATCTGTGGCAAAAGGTATTGGTATGGAGAGATAAAAGAGAGGTTTTTCATTTTTTTTTTTTTTTTTTTTTTTTTTAATTAACACCAAGAAGAAAACAGCAGCACTTGTCGAGCTTTGTTTTAGTGCTCATAAAAGCATAATAACTACAAAGACAGAAAACTATTGCAACATTTCAAAAACCGAACTTTATTTTTACATTCATTAGATTGCGTTGTGGGCTTTTATATGCAAATAAACTTTATTTATTTATTTATTTATTTTTTATTTTTACTATTTAATTTACTAAATTTTCATTGATTTTATTTTCGTTACTAATTTATTTAAAAAAAAAAAAACAAATAATAATAACAATAAGAAGACAAAAACATCTAAATCTACTGTTTGTCGATGTCTGTATGGTTATTAAATGTGGATTTAATTCTATATATACGTATCACTTTTCATATGTGTCTTGTAACTAAAGAAACACACACAGAGCCATACCAAGTGAGATCGCTTAATATGGAAAAAAGAACATTTTCCAAGTAATCATCAATCTAGCAACAGGATGAAGGTTAAAGCAAACTTTTCGTTTTGCCAGAGAAAAAAAAAATTAGTACCATTGTAAGAATACGTTACGCTACCATCTTATATATATGTACTTATGTTTACGTAAACATATTTATTGTGTAAAGAACACAAAGAAATAACTCACAATTGTACAAAACACGAATGGCGTAGACTGAAATGTGTGTCCTTTGGATTTGCTATTCATATAAAACTCTTGTTGATATCATCTCTCTATGTGGTACATGTATGTGTAAACATTACCAGGTTTGTTGAACAGTTTGCGGGACGGAAAAGGATAAAACATTTTCATAGTTGAAACAATGCCTATTAATTTGAAGATTCTTTCTCTTTCTAGCTCTCCTCTAAAATTTATTTATACCAATTCTCAAAAGGTTTTATAAACGTACAACTAGTTGATAAATTGTGATGTTTGTCCGTTTGAGTATCTTAGAAATTTGTTTTTTCTTTTTCAATATCAACTCGCAAGAAAAGAAGAGAACAGCAGCAAGTCTTTGAAATTTTTTCCAAAAGAAGACTGTTTGAATTAAAATTTATCAAAAATTACAGCTAGTTTGCACATGGTTTTCTCAAACTCAATTCCTTTCCAAAATTTCAACATATGAGTTTAAGTCGATGAGACTTAGCCATTCATTTAATAGCCTATCGTCCCTTATTACATAGTCTATAACGCGTCACTCGGTAAGTTCGTAGAACGATATATACACAAGGCCGCTATTGATTAATCATACGAATTTTAGATAGTACTAGTCTTTAACTGCAACTTATAGTTGCTTTAATGGCGCACCTTGTTCGGGGATATATACTATCCCAAAATGTTATAGATCTGTCAATAGTTATCCTACACCTGCTTGTCAACATACGATCTTATTAAATGGTATGCTCGAGTTACTCCGCTAATCCTTAGCTGCAATTAAATAGAAGAAAGGAGAAAATGATCACTCAACCGCTTCCCCACAAATATTTGTTATCTTCTAGTTTTTATATATACCCCCACTTGCCAACTATATATAACAGTTTCAAATACGCATTGCGTACATCGTACGTCGGCGCGAATAATGTAACCAATTCACTTACATCATTCTGCTCGTCTGTCCGTTGAAAGCAGAATCACCATATAAAAATTTTACCCAAAGAACCTAAAATATTTTTTACGGCCTAAGATTTCAAATTTTACAAGTTAAAGCTCTATAGTAGGACACACTCCTCCATAATATACACTATACCAGTTCGCTTAACATAACGACTATTCAAAATAACGGTGTAGTCGAAAAGATGGTCCGATCGGAGCCACTTTCAATAGCGATTTTCCTTGGGGCAAAACAGGTCGGTATGTGAAATTTCAAACAAACAAAACATCTCACAGATTGCGGCCTTTGGATTGAGCACAAGTAAACAAGACTGATATATGGACATACAAAGCAGAATTACTTTCTGACTCGATCGGTATAATGAAAAGTAGGTTCGCCACAGGTCCTTCTGGGTGTTACAAACAACCACACTTGCTAAGCATTCACCTACAATTATCAAAAAAAACAAAAATAAAACGTAGATGTGAGCTTGGACTCGCCTAGAAATTATATTCATCACGTACGTGGTCCTTTTTGCGTCATTATTGCAAATTCTGTCACTCAATCCTCTTTATCGCAAGAAAGTGAATCATTGTACATATTTTTTTTTTACTACGTAGGATTTATTTATGCTCTTCTGATTTTCAATAAATTTGATCGGCTTGAAATTTTATAGGCGCTTGTAGATAGTAAAAAGTTGTACATATTGTAATCCTTTCCTCCTATTGTTTCACAAATGTGACTTCGCGAACTTTTCAACTGGCCCAGCTCCCAATCATCTCTCCACTTAGCTGCAATATAAAAACATTTGCACTGATTTGTACGTCCAAGAAGACGCTGTATATGAATTTCATAATACACTACAGCAGCAAAATACGTTATAATTAAATAAATTTCTAATTTATTTACTTAAACTTTCTGCTCTATTCCCATTCTTTCTCTCTCTTTTTTTTCTCTCTTTTCTATACTTTGACTATAATAAAATATCTTCTTAAATGAAATTGAATGACTTTATTTAAAAAAAAAAAATAAAAAATAAAATAATGATAAATAAATAAAAAAAAATACATTTTTTAAATGAAAACCGCACAGAAGTCATCGCTAAACAAAATGCAGGTGCCAATGAACATGGATTTTATCATCGTCGCGGTTTAACTATGCCAACCGTAACACCGATACCAGATTTAAGAAGTGATTTAGATCAACCTACCGGTTCACCAACAACACGACCTCAATTTCAAGGTCTTTATTTAAACAAACCAACAAAGTTTATAAATTTTTGTTTAAGTTTCCGTTGTTTTTTTTTTTATCTTTTTCTAATTTTATATTTTTTATTTAATTTAATTTAATTTATCGTTTATGTTTTGTTTGGTTACGGTGATAAATTCAAATTTTAATATTTTATTAATTATTACTGTTATGTTTTTTCATATTTATTATACATTTCTGTTGTTAAAGAGTCTCTTGTTGCATATACATATATATATATATATATATACATATATACATATATACATTTATATATACATATGTATATAGAAAGAAAGAAAGAAAGCTTGTATCCCCATTTAATCTCTAGTCATCAAGTCTTTAGATTTTCATATTCCATCTGCATTAATCAAATATTCAAAGTCAACGTTTCATTTATCTTGTGTACTTTTTACGTTTCATACGATTAATCCTCATTTAATGCTTGATTGAATTCGTTTCCTTTCATTATTCTCTTTTTTCTTTGCTCTTTTTTTTTTTTCTTGTCTTTTGTTTTGGTTCGGCAAACCTAACCACTAACCAAAGTAATCAGTAGCACGTTTCTTTAAAGCTTTCATTTATAGTTGGATTGACTTTTATTGTGGGTTTCTTTTTTCTTTTTTCCTTTTTTTTTTTTTTTTTCTATTATTACATTAACATTCACTGCCCTTCTAATCGTTCATTAACTCATTAACACACACCTGTCGCTTAACCTCAAGCACACACAATCACAGTCACATAATAACATGTTTTATTTATATTCACATTACATTACATGTAGTATTTATATCGTAATTTGTTTAAAATGGTTTACTTGTTAATAGAACCTTTCTTACTTTTTCGTTAACAAAAACGGAATACTTCAGTCCATCATTCACACTTGTATATAGAAATAGTGTGTTGGCACCGCTCTTAGATTTTTATCCCATTACCTTTTTTCTCTCTCATCCATTTCAAAAGATATCAATCAATATTGTGTTGATAGCGTCCTTAGATATTTTGCCTTTTTTTCTCTTTCATATCACCTCTTAAGGCCACAAATCCCTTGCGTTATCCTTATTAAATTATATTAACGAAATCTCTTTAAATTTGTTTGTGTGTGTGTTTCTTTAATATATAATCAAAATTTTTTACAATATACCAAATAACTTCCTTCTTTTTTTTTTTTGTTTTTATAATAACCCGAAAATGTTTAAAGTAAATTAAAATTTTTTTCCTAAATAACCAAATAATATTAAATTTTTACTTTGAATTTCAAATCCATCACTAGATAGTTTCAAGTAATGTAATATTGAGGCCTCTCGTTATGGGCCCAACATTTCTAAATGACTTTATTACATGCTCGGAAAGTCCCAATGATTGCTTGCTAACAGAATAAAACTTTAGAGGTTCGGCTTCCCTAAAGCGAAAATAATATACGAACCCATAGACTTGGATTAACATTTCGATTTTCAATCCGTTTAATTTCTACAAGCTGCATAAAAATAAACCTGATGATAGGTACGGTCTTGTTTTTTTCAGGAATGATTTTACTATAAATCCTTTCCTTTTCCTTGTCCTTTTTTCGTTGCGGTGTCCGTATATTTCTATCTAGAAATCTCGTACGTAGACATATTGATAAGGAAACGGAAATTGAAGATATTAGCAATCTAATGGCCAATATATCATTGTCCGCGAATCGTACCATTGACTGAGTTTTCGAAGCTGCAACTTATCGCACTCTTATCTTTAACTTCTTAAATTAACTGCAAGTTTAATCAAGCTACCAGCATTTATCGAAGCCATCTGTTGCGATTGGAAATACAAAACTCTTCTCATATGCCAGAAGTAGGATGTGGGTTTATCTTTGTCAGCTTACCTCAAAGAAAAATTCAGCATGTCTTTTGAATATTTGTTCAACTGTGATTTCTCCACGTTAAAGTATTACCGCTAAGCTTTGCTCTGTAGTGAAAGGTACCCGGAATGAAATGTAGATCCCATAGTTTCTCAGGGCTTCGAGTAAGTCGCGCTCGAAGCCAAAATATTCAAACGACACCGAAGCGAGAAGTCACGACAAAAGCCACGATTTAAAACGTGGCAGCCGTTGCCAGCCATCCACATATTGGATTAGATGTTACTAGTTGCCTCAACTTAGCTATACAGATGCGTTCTTAGTTGATGGATACACATTAAGTTTCAAAAAACGTCATTATTCACTGGCAATAGTTAAAAAGTTCAAATTTTCTATTAATGACGTTTTTTGAAATATACATATATATATATATATATATATATAAAGTAAATATGGCCATAAAAGCAGCAAATAATAACAATTGCACGAGCTATTGGGAAAGTCAGTATAAAGAAAGGTTCAAGCACACAGTTGGCAGTGAGACGCTCACTAATTAAAAGATTCATTGCATTTTTTATGTACTGGTTAACTACAGTGGGCAGTGGTGCTTATTCGAACGTGTTTTGGATTAGATGATAATATTATTCTCTTAATTTGGAATGTAGTCATGAGAATTGCAAAGCCATAAGTTTGCTCATCATGGCTCATTATTGTAACAATATTAATGGTTTATAAAAGGAAAAGCAATCGGTTGGCGCTTTAGAACACGGCAAACCATGTATGCGCTGGTTTGTACGACGCATTAAAGATTCAAAGTCTTAGTTAGGCATTTCTATCATCCACAAAGCAGCCAATGCTTACTACTAGTGATGGATTGAGTAAAGCGCGTTGGGACATAAATTTTTATTGTTAACTTCATTAACGTAAGATTTCGAAATCCTCCACTTCTCCAACGTGTTCATGCAAATGACACTCATCTGTATGTATGCATTAATTGTGTTCATGTCATTCTCATCGATTTTGGCTTAATTTTTATTCATTTATTTATTAATTTATTTATTTTTTTTTTGTGCTGTTTATGAGTTGCTTTTAGTTCATTTCGAAATTCTTGATATATATTCGTCTTTACATAAGTTTGGTCTTCTGTTTTAAAAATTTTTCAATTGCGCAACATTTGGTTCTTTTTTTCCCCCTTTTTTCACTTAGTTACATACACAAATTCTTCAAGTGGTTTCATACACAAACCAGTACCTCAAACCATTCAGCAACAACAACAGCCACCGCCACAGCCACAGATTTCATCTCAACAACTGCAACAATCTGATTATCACATAAACGTTGAAAATACTCATTACGATAACGAAGGTAATTTTCGAAATTGGCGTTTCGATGGAAATGCTTTCTGCTTTTTTTTTTTTTTTTTTTTTTTTTTGTTCCTTTAAATTAGAAAAATATTTGATAATTTAATGTAGCAAACTTTTATTTTTAATATTTTTGTTATCAAAAAAATTTTTATTTTATATTTTGCATAACACATCAAATTATTAGCATTTATTGTGCACAAATCACGTGGCATTACCACATTATCATCCATGCATATGCAACAACAGCAACAACAACAACAACAGGATCCTCTAATGCCAGCACGTTTACGTCAAGCAAAAGAGAAAAACAATCATGAAACCAAAGCTGATGAAAGAGGTTTGTTTAAAAAAAAAATCAAAAAAAAAAAAACTAACTTGCACCTAACTTTCACTAAGAATTTTAAAAGCAATTTAAGCAGAATCCTTTTTTATTTTCTTTAATTTTTTGTTTTATTTTTCTTTTCATTATTTTCTCTTGAATAAATTGACTTTAAATTAAAGAATAAACGATAGTTTAATTACATTTTACCTTATACAGGTGATAATGTGCCTGCCGGCAGACCTAGTAATTGGGATCAAAATCGTCGTCCCAGCTATGCAGGTAGATTGTTTATAAATTTTTTATTTATTTTCTACTTGCGATTAAATGCATACTTTTTTTCAATTTAATTAATAAATAGGTCGTCGTTCTCGCCGCAATTCTTCCAGCGAAGATTCCCAACTAACTATTGAGAATTTTGGCGGGTCGCAGGATCAACTAAATGCCATTGATCGATTTGAACGTGAACGTGATAGAGAACGTAAACTGTCCAATACTACAATAGGTATTAATTTTTTCCTTTGCCGTGCCAAAATTCCTATTAAGGATTGTGACTATCTTCTAGGAAAAATGAAGAGAAAGTGTTCACTTTTACGTTGACATAAGAAAAAAATATTTTTTTTAGTTCATTAGTTCTTTTCTAATACTCGTGAATTGGTTTAAGACAATTGGTACCTCTTTTTGACAATTTGAAGATATTTTAATTCGTTTAAATTGCTCTTAGTATATAAGTTTTTATTGCCTTCTCATATACTTATAGTATCTTTTGTAAGTATCTTTCGCAGACGTTATCGGTTGCACAATTAAACGTTCGGATTTTTTGATCAATGAAAGTATAACATTTTCAAAAGAAATATAGAAAATGATTTATTCAAAGTAGCGTTCCTTCTTGACGACATCCCAGCGGTCGTGCGTGCACACCACGGCGATAAAATGACGCGTCTTCGTACCGAGAACGTTCATCGAACTAGTTTTGCCCTTCCTCCCTACCGCAACTATACTCGATCGTGCTCCGTGCTCCGTGCTCTGCGTCTCGTGCCCCAATTTATCCGTTTTTCGAACTGATGATTCATGTTGACAATATGCAATGACGTATTCGCCTCGTTTCAGCGCAACTACACGACTACTTTCTTCTTGCCCCAAAGGCAGAGTATTGTCTTTTTTCCGAAGCGATTGGTCGTGCCATCAATATTGAGAGACTTCACTAGAGCGAAACCCACGATTTATTACATTTGATATTCTCGAACGAAGTGGATATCACCTGTCATGGGCAGTATTAATTTAGTGCAGGAAACTCTTTGTCCATGCCGCAGCAGCACAATTTTCAAAATGGACCTTAAATGTGTATTCTTTCCAGAGAAGCATATGTAAATGGTATCATTAACGTTTCTTCTAAGGAGTTTATAAAGCACTTGCGGGGACTTTATGAAGCACGTTAACTAATTTGAACTTGTTGCAAAGTTTAAGATATCGTCACTTATTGATTGCAATGAATACATATTGGCGGAAATACACGTAAAGTTGATAAGATTAATTGCGAACTTTTGGGAGGAAAAACCAAGTACACTGCATAGCTAGTTGAAAAGCGTAATGCTTTTTCAGTAAGTAATGGTCAGAACATCAGGCAGGGCCGTTGGCGATACAGGCACCTTTGTCGACGTCGACAACGACCTATAGAAATCAATCAGTTTTACGCCTGTTAATCTCTACCCATTTTACTCTATCCACTCCTTTCTATTTCAGTTTTTCGACACTGAAATAACAAAGGGGTAGTTGACCCGTTTAATGCAATTAATCTATTCGCAAATGTTACATTAATCAAAAACACGTTTACTTTAAGTGACGGTACGATAATTATGTATAGGTTGCGAAAGGAATAACAAGTTAAGTGACGAAGAAATTTCTAATGTTTGAAGAAGTAAACGCGATCGTCGAGCGTTAGCAACAAGACAAGTTTAATGACATCGTTTCTGTTTTAGGACACGAATGGCAAACATTCAAAGGTTGTTTGCAAATCTTATAGTAAATGATTGTAGTTTAGTGCGGCTTTCATATGTATTATTAGATGTTTTTATGTTTACATAAATTCTTTTCAGCTTTTTATTTTATTTTATGGACCTTTTTTTTTTTTTTTTTTTAGAACCCGTTGCAGCAGTTCGTTCGTCCATTATTGATGCTCGTGGCACTTTGCAGTTGGGTTATGATACTGACTCAGGATCTGAAAAACAAGATCACGATACCGAAAAGCAACAACAGCAGCAACAAGAGCAACAGCAAACCCTAAAAAGGCAGCCCAGCTATGACAACGTGTCCTTGGCTGGTAATTCGCAAAGTCGCACTAGCATGACTTCTACTAATAATAACCAAACACAAAAGCATTCCAATAGTCCTGATATAACAGATGAGCCGCCGCGTGATCCAAATGCTACACTAACAAGAAAGTCCTCAAACGCTAGTATGCACATGAAATCGTCGAATTGGCAAAATAATCAAAATGGTAACATTATTTGATTTAAATATGATTTAAACACAAAAAAAAAAAAAAAAAAATGTTGCGTGCAGTAGAACATGGAATAAACAATTTCTTGCCTGAGAGAATATAGGAAATTAGTATTGAACAAGATTGCTTACGCTTTGCGCAAAAGTCCCATTCTTTTCCTAAATAGCAAACTTGCAACTTGAAATGATTTCAGTTAAACAGAAATTAGAAACAAGACGACATCAGTTGTATTTGCACAGCACAAACAAAATCAGGTCAGTTAGAACTCCGCCGGAGCTTCATCTTCAGTAAATCGATTTTTTTAATCTTTCGGCTTTAGTTTTTTAATTAAAATGAACTTGACCGCACGTTAAATTAAAATTATGCCGCAAACCTGTTTTACGGAAAAGCGGGCAACCGATAAATTCTGATCGTCACTAAAACTCTTGCCGACAGTCCTAATAACGTGCTCACCTCCTACACATATATATGTAGTATTGACACGAGCATACAAGGTGCGTTCTGAGGAATATTTCCAAATAACCATCTATTGATGATTCAATGAGTTGGAATATGTATCCTTCCTTGATGCTCTGTAAAATGTGTAGTGTAAGTTAGCGATCATGCAGAAGCTATATTATTGCTTTGTAAGTGTGTTTTTTGAACTTTATATATGTGTGGAGTAGACACCGAGACGAACTTTTTTCGCAGCACTTTGAATTATTCCTTCATTATTACAGGTGTAATTACTGTATTGGCGCTAAATTTATGACTCATGTCAAGTGGGGCTTTTAAGATAGCAAGCTCTGCTTATGCGAAGCTGCAAAGGACAGACTATTGTTGTATAAAATATGACAAGAAAATCGCATTTATTGCTTAAATTTGGTTGCAACTTGCTATTGGTACAGTTGTATCGCTCCCATAGGACAGATGGGATTTGTATTGCGGCTACTGTCGAGGTAACCTCTGGCTAGTTTCCTGGTATATATAGTATTTATCGCTATAAATAATTACACAAATTAAAGCGCAGCGTTTATACAATGCTTCTTATTTCTATATGTGCTGTATAAGCTTTTTCGTGTTTGGCCAGCGTGGGCACGATGGTGTAAGGGGCAAAGGAAGAATGAAGTAGGATTTGTTTAGGATCTAAGCACTATTATGAACTATTCTATAGTTGCATTTAAGTTGATATATACTCGTATGTAATGGATAATAATTTCTCGAAAGACCTATAGGAAGAATGGGAAATTCGTCTAGCAATCAATGCAACAATCGTCTCAAAATTAGGATAAAACTTCGTACAGATTTTTTTCAATGCCTTCAGCGGCAAATTATTTTTTACAATTGCTATTTTTTTTGCAGATTTGTTCGATGATGATACACGTTCACTAGACAGTGCTTACAAACTCTCGAACATGCGCATGAAATTGGAAGAGAAAAGACGAAGGATTGAGACGGCCTTGATGCGTTATCAGGAAAAAGTATGAAATATAAGCAAAAATTCTTTGAATATTTTCTATCAATAATAATAATGATAAAATCTATTAAATACAGATGAGCCAGGACGATTTAGAAGGCGATTATATGAAGTGGGAGACTATGAGTAATGATTCTAAACGTACCTCTGACATCGATCCAAACGAATTGGATAAATATCAGGTATTGTGACTTACATGAACTTAGTACACTATGTTAAACTAGTATTTGGTTTTACACAGCATTCAATAATCATAAATCATAAATTAATCATTAGTTGTAGTGCACGATGGAATGTGCTAAAATAAAAAACACCTTAACAAATTAAATTTTTTGTTCAATTTTAAATTTTATATATATATATATATATACGTGTTTGTTAACTTACTACATATATATAAAAGCAAAACAAAATTATTTTCCTGTTCTCACGTAATTTTTCTTGCTACATTAAACCCCGTTTCTTTCTCCTCTGTAATGTTAAATCTCCTGTAATGTGTGTATATGTCATTGCGTTCATACGTTTACTGCACAACAGCAAATCGCTATCATGAATATGAATCTGCAAGATCTTCAACACGATATACAAAGACTAGCCAGTCAGCAGGCCCAACAGATGCAGGCTCAACAATTATTACAGGCCCAACAAATTGCTAATATGCTAAATCAGGTAAACACTAATAAAAGGCTAAAAATTAATATAACGGTAAATACTTTGACATCAAATTTCATGTTTTCCTATATTAATCCATTTAAACACACTAAAGTATGTCTTTCGCCGGCATTAAATACATTATAACATAGGCTACATTGAAATCGCAAGAATGAAATTAAAACTCAAAGTAAATTGTTCAGACGTTGAAAAGTTTGGAAAGTAGTTTTTTTTTTTTTTTTATACTAAAATATACGTTGCTTTCCGAACGACGGGTTATATCGATCGGTTTACACCTTCGGTTTTTTCAATTGTTCAAGGTCATCTTTCACTTTTCATTGTATTTCTCTTTTACCAGCAGCAACAGAATTTCGGTTCACAGCAACATTTAGCCGATCCTTACTCACCGCGTCCCCTAAGTCATCAAGCCAATTATGGTTCATCACCTCACCTGCCGCAGGCTTTTAACAATTCCGGGCTCAATCCTTATTCGCGTCCGCCTAGTCGTGATCCCTATCAACAGCAACAAATGCCACCGGCAATGCCGCTACAATTTATAAACGATGCTGGTCAATATATGTACGCTCAACAGCAGCCCGTGCCCCAGTACAACGCTATTCCCATGCATTACAATGTCAGTGCCGATAACAATGCCGTGCCTTATAATAATAGCAATCACACATATATTGGTGGACCTCCAACGTACAGTAACCAGACGCATCAGCAACAGCAACAGCAACAACAACAACAGCCGCATCCAACGTACATTCCTCGTCAAAGCGTTTACGACGACTATATTCCGCCACAATCAATGATGGTACGCGAGCCGAATATGTCACCACAACCGAATAATTATTATGTCCACGAACAACAACCACCACCGCTATCGCAACCGCAATTGCAATCTGGATCGCAGCAATATTCAAACCAAAGGAGAACTTGGGCTCAGTCGTCGTTCGATCATTCCCAAATGATTGACGTGAACGCTTGGCAAACACCGAGAAAGTCCCAGCCACCTCCTTCTCAAAGGTCGGATGACGGCAGCTCCGCCTGGGGCAGTCCACAAATGGACAGCAACATGCAACATCAGCAACAGCGTTCTTCTATTCAACAAAACGGCGATAGCCAAACGTATCCTATACACTCATCACCCATACATAGCCAGCGTGTACCAGCGGGCGGTGGAGTTAATAATGTACAGAGACAGCATTCAATGACTAATTTAAGAGAAAATATTCGCTCGCCAAATGTTGCGACGCCAAAAGCATCGTCCGCACCTACACCACCGGACGATGTGATGGCACCACAAAGTATTTGTTTTATAGGCGATGAAGATGATGTCGATGAGCTTGATCGTAGTCTTTTAGAAAAAATGCAGAATACCGGCCTATCAGAGTACAGTTTTCCTATACATCATAATCAACAGCATCAGCAGCAGCAATGCTTTGAACGTAACAACAGTGCTGAGGATTATAATGAAATGATGCCTCAGAAGTTAAACATTACTAGCGGAAACTTAACCTACAGAATACCTTCGCCACAACGTCCCCACTTACATGCCAATAGCTTCCAAGTAAGTAGTAAATTCTCAACTATGCCCACGAAAATAGTTTTGTTATCAATTCTATGATTATAGGATCCGCGTGCATCGGATAGGAATACGAACGAAAAAGGGTTTTACATTTCCTTTGATGACGATCAGCCTAAAAGACCTAAGCCTCCGTTGAGAGCTAAACGTTCACCTAAAAAAGAGAAAAGCATGGATAGTGTTGATCATCAAGTCTCCCCAAAAGTCGATATTAATTCATTTTACGAAGACGGTATTGGTGTGATAGTTGAGCCAAAATTACGTCCGAAAATATATAATCACCGTAACGCGGAAATCAATGCAACTGGTAGTCAAAAATTGAATTTAAATAACAATAGTGGTAAAGCCACTTACAATAAATACACAGACAGTCCCATACAATTAAGTCAGGTGATGGCAATGGGGAATAACGATAACAAAAACGAGCATGCAAAGCTTATAAACAATAGCCACAATAATCATAACATAGATTGCAGCCAATTGCAAACACCACCGCCAACGCCAAAACAAGCAATCACCGCCTCACCTACACTGCAAAGGAAAAGTAGTCCAGTCATTACACGCCAACAATTGGCCGACAGTAAAAGTCAGGCTTTGGTTATTGGCACGGATGTATCTTCGTTGGATCCGGTAAGGTGTTTGAATTGTAACGAAATGTTTTTATTTTTATGAATTAATGAATTTATTGGTAATATTTAGGAGTCTGTGGACGAAATGGAACGTCGCAAAGAGAAAATCATGCTAATGTCTTTGCAGAGACGTCAACAGCAAGAAGAAGCGAAAGAGCGTAAAGAGCAAGAGGCCGCTAGAAAACGAGAATTAGAACGTGAAAAAGAAGAGGAGAAGCAACGTAAAAAAGAAGAACAAATGGCACGCAGAGCGGCCATCCTAGAACAACACAGACTTAAGAAAGCTTTAGAAGAAGCTGAAAGAGAAGTATTTTGCACAGAAATTGGAGAAAGCGAGCTAGCGATGGTTTAATTCGATCTTGTTTTATTTTTAGGGTAAAACACTAGATCATCGTTCCGATTTAATGCATAAACCTGTCTCACAAACAACAGTAACAAGGACACGTACCCAGAAAAGTACACGTCCCCGCCCAAAAACCATACACGTAGACGATGGTTCAGTAGACATAAGTGAAGCATCCAGTATCTCTAGTCGTGGCAAAAAAGGTTCCAGTAGTAATATAACGGGTAAGTTTGGCATACAGAAAATTTTCGTCGACATTATCGCGATTTTCTTTGCACTTTTATAGTTGAAATCTCCCTTTAATTTACTTTTTGAATTCAGAATATTACTACCTTATGTAGTGTCAGCTTGCTCTATGCTAGATAATTATGTTATTCGGAAAGTAATTTCGATTGGTAACCGAGTCTAAACTTTAAAATTTCACAAATATCAAAATGTCTTTAGATTATATAGAGCACAATAAAAGCTATATAGATTCTTGATAGCCGCAAGATTTGAACGCGAATTGTTGCATCATATCTACGCAATCCTTTTCAGATCACATCCATAATTATTTCGTGCACTTAATCTGTTCGCTAATAACCGAGCTAGTCGAGGGAACTTAATAGGAAGGGAAAGTACATACGTTATAGGGTTATTTCGTCTTCTCTGCGAGGTTATACTTGATTGTATGCAAGCATCCCTTGTTTTAATTCGTTTTTCATCACGCGGTTTTTTAATTGCGTTCATATCAACTAATCGGTTTGAAGGTCATTCATCATCTAGTCTATAAATTCTTAAGTGTAGGAAGGGAGGAAATTTCATCGCCACGTCATTCTGGTTAATTGAATCCGACAGCTTTATTTCTAGAGTAGGTATAGAGTAGAAACACTAAGAACACTAAAAATCGATTATTTATTGTTGTTGATGTCATTTCAATCATAATTGTCAATTATTTACGACACCAACCGTAAATAATGCAACTCTGCAAAACGTAACTTGAGTAAAATTACTTGGTTCGTTAAACCGAGGCTGCGCTTTTCAACTTCACTGCGTAGATTTTAAATGAAGATTATTTTTCAAAAACTATATACTTATGCAACTGTTAGTTCAAAAACGCAATTACTTTCCGAACAAGCCAATATTTGTATGCATATGTTTCGTGTGAAGTGTTGTTCAATCGATTTTTTGTAGAATAAATTAATTCTTTGTTACAATTTATTATTTTTCAATTGTATTATTTAAATTTTTACTCATTTACTTTGTATTGATTTGTATTTATATTTCGCTCATATATTTATGCTTTCGTTTCATTATTGCATGACTGTTGCTGTTTATGCGTTATTACGTTTGCTTTTCGTTTCGTTAATAAATGATGCCAAACAAGGTTATGGCCAGTTGAGTTCTAATTCGATGAGACGAGATTATTACAGAGGCTCTCAAGACTCTCTAACAGTTAAAGGTAATCATTATAATTTTTCTCATATTTTTTTCTTTCATTCTTAATATTTTCTTTTTGATGGTGTTTTGTTGACATATATTTTTGCTATTAACAATCGGAGAGAAAAAGTTGTTAGCGTTCCTAAGCTTTTCCCATTATATGACAAATACGTTTGCGGCTTTCAATAGTGGTCACTATCTATTTTTTTTTTTTATATATATATTATTGTTACTGCGATTGATTGAATATAAATAAAATTGTGTGTTAACGTTATCTTTTCGAACCGACAGAATCGCCAGATGAATATCCTAGCACAAGTTCCACACCGATTGGACGCCGTGGATCTTATAAATTATCGAAAGGTTGGTGGTGGGCGGATTATAAATTTAATAATGCACTAATTAATTATTATTTAATTTGGTTTTTTGTTTATGGTTTCGATGTTCATTTGGTTTGAATTTATTTTAAACTCTTATAATTAAAAGCCTCGCTACATAATTTGAAACTCAGTACTTCATAAAACTATGCACTCACCACCCAAACGCACACCTACAAATATTACTTATACGATTAAGTTAAAGCAATAAAAAACTTGGCTTTGGCTTTTTGTTTTCGTTTTTGGTTTCGATTTTAATTTTAGTTTATGGTTTCAACAGCACTGAATTAGTTTTGCTTGTGTGTGTGGTTGTTTATGTTACCTAATGATATTATTATAAGCAATGATCGTTGAAAGCATGCTATTCTTCTTTATGTTATATTTTTGCAAGATTTTCTCTCCTCCCTCTGTTTTTTTTTGATATATTTATAAGTAGATATTTATCTTTTTAACGGTTTGATTGAGTTTGGTGTATAATCGTAATAGCATACATATATATAGAAATACATGAATTATTATCCGGTATTAAGTTAACACAAAACCAACGGCTATGGGATGGACTTTTCGTTAATTTCATATTTTCAAACACATCTTTGTGGTTTTTTTTTTTGTTTTCAATTTTTTAATCTATAAAATCTTCAAATTATTAGATTTCATTTATACTCAACCTATATATATTATTTATAAAATTGATTTTGTTTGAAATTTAAAAACAAAAAATAAATGAAAAACAATCAAAAAACCCTCCAAAACATGTTTTTTTAAACATGTAATGTGGGCAAATTTTTCCAGAACCGAATGTTGTCGAACGGGGTCGCACTCTATCACGTATATCTGTAGCCAAAGGAAGTTCTCTAAATTTTCGCGGTCGAAAATCGAATTCGCTTATGAACTTGTGCGGTAAGAGTTTCTCTCACAAATTTTCATTTAATTATAATTGTTTTTTTTCTTTCGTTATCTTCTTACTTCTTTGAAACATTGTCTTCATTTTATATTTAATTATTATCTCATAAAATATAATCAAAAAAAAAAAAATAAATAAAAAAATAAATAAACAAATAAAATAAATAAATAACAATATAAATGTTTGTATGTAAATATGTAACATGTTTCACATATCTCTTAGATGAATACACTTACCCCACTAAACTATTTAATAAACGTAAATTGCATTTCGGTGTTTGGTTACAAGTTCGATTTTTCATTAAAATTTTTTTTGAAATATTTATTTCTGGAAAATTGTTTCATTACATTCAAAGCATTTGGCATCCGATTAGTTTACATTTTATTCAAATCCGTTAGATAAACATATATAAAACAAAAAAGTTATGTATTCGCCTTAAAATGAATCCTAGATAAATAGCTTTGATCTTAAACTAATGAAGTCCCTGTCAATAGGAGAGCGATTGTCAAAGATTTCTAAAGCTTTAAGATGCCTCTAGTGGATCTTGGAAAATTTTTAAATATTGTAAGCATTAATCAACATAGGAAGGCAGATATGGCTAGATCTCAGTCTGTCTGCTCTTTGATCTGCCAATGTCACGACTACTATCTCAAAACTTTCTCTTTATAAAATAAAATAAAAACAACTATGTTCGTCTTAGATTGAATCTTTGTTGTCTTTGGATGTTCCGGTAAATGCAGGCGGGTCGATTGGCATCACAAGCAAGTCACGAGGTCCTAATGTCATTGTGACTTTTTGTGTTAATCGCTAATCCCTAATCCTACAGCGTCACGAATGTACATTTGGTTTCATTATTTTTGAAATTCGGGATCTTAGAAAATTGACGAGCTGTCAAGCAAACTCAAATCGTCAGATGTGCGATTTTCGTAACTATATTAAAGTTAGTCAATATTTCCAAGGACCATGTAAAAGCTGAGAAGGGTAAATGATTTAAATGAAATGAATATATATTTCCAGTGCGAGAATGTAAGAATCAAAGATTCACATTAAGTGCTCTTCTAGAAGTCGTAAACCGGAATTCTTAATAACTCCTTTACTTCTGCACATGTCTGTCCATATTTTAAGTTTAACATTAATTTTAATACTTTTTGATTTTTTTTATGTTTGCATACTTGTTTGTGTACTCTTTTATGTAAATGTTGTGCAATTTTATTCTTTTTCTTTAGCTAATTGTTGTCATTTGTTGCTGAACATGTTTTTATATAATAAATTTATAATTTCTTAGGACCCGATTCCTTATACGTTACTTTGCATAACACTATTTGAACTACGAAAAGTTCATAAATGATTTTTTAAATTTGCAGAAATTTAACTCATAAACTTCGTTACCACTGATGAATAGATCGGCAAAAAGTAAAACAAGACAGAATTAAAACTTTTTATTTGCGAAAATGATTACTGGGCTTATACGGGTTTTACGAAGCCATCTAGATATAACAAGTGAAAACAGTACAGTGGAGTACGGCCTGCTATTAAATACCCTACACCACCATATTCGAATTCTCAATATAAGGAGGAAGTGGTCGAAATAATCATCGGATCCGAAACATTTTCAATAGCGTTCGTCGTTAGGCCCAAAAACGTCAGTGTACAGAATTTCCTCAACACATATCAAAAGTTGCGGTGGATTAAACCCAAATGCCGAATAGACGAACAGACAAACATCCATAAATTCAGAAAATGATTGTAAATCGATCCGTATAATAAAAACCGCGTCTACCTCACGTCCTTTTAGGCATTGCATACATCCGCACAAACTTAATATGCGCTCGTACCACAAGCGATGTAGATGAAGTGTGAAAGAAAATTGCATTTCTCCAAAAGTTCACTTTTTTTGACAATGCAACATTTTTAATTTCAATATAACCCACCTCTCTGTAAGCAAAGGTGTCATGTGGTTTTTAGTTTAAGATTCCGTTTAATCGCTTGTTGAAGAAATCTTACTTTCGAGGCTAGAAAGTCCGAACAATAATAAGAAATTTGCTGCATCACAATGTTGTACGGTTCGCGGGAAAAAAAACTCAGTTGGGAAGCTCAGACGGTTTCGGGACATCTTTAATCAAACTTTTTTTTAAAATTTTTTTTTTCTTTACTAATTTCTTTCGTGATTACGATTTCTGTATCAAGAAGCACCATTTCTTTCGTTACTACATTTTTTATTAGGGATTGGCTCGGCCGGAGTTGGCATCATCTTCTTCGCATACTGCTCATAAAATGGCTTTGTAGTTAAGCGCTTTTTTTTGCCATTTTTGATGCTTTCTCGCGCCTAATTTAATTTTGTTTATTAAAAGCAATTTGAAACGCCATAGTCAGGGAAGGCCAACCGTTAAATCTCCCTTTGTCAAATAAAAGATTGTACCGTAAGCGATTGTTAAATTCGTATAAGTTAATTCAATTTTAACATGGTTGGTTCGTCGTTGCTCCAAAACCTGTTACTGCGCCAGTTTTTATCAAAATAATAGACAATTGCGGCACAAGTTTAAATCGATTTAGAAATTGATCCAGAGATGGGTTACTTAATAAAAGGTGTATCAAACTCAAGTCTTTCTGATTTTGCTTACGTTCGCACAAACTTAGTACCTCGGCCCTGTATGCATAACATCAGGCAATTTATGGCTTATCGACAAATGGCTTAAATACTTTTTATATGAAAAGATTTTTGTTTTTATACCTTACACTTCCGTATATAAATTTGAAATGGATTGGACCGATCACTTGCAGCGCTTTATTTTGAAAAAGTCGTTTCATAAGAAAATTTAGGAATTTTCAAAGTGTATCGAAAAAGCGGTTTCGGTCTCCACTTCTATATCATTGTTCCTAACAAGACTAAAGCGCGTATACGGGAACGCACTTTAATTTTTAAGTCATAACTAAAACCGGTGAAAAGTGAAAATATCTTTGATAAGAAGATTAATTTAAGTAAACTAAGATTACGTCACTTCACGAATAGTATGCAAAGACATGAAGGCATGACACCTTATTATTAGGAGAAATGAAGAATTGTAGTAGGCGAGGTTATTTTGTGCTCTCGGGCTGATCAGCTATTCATTATTTTCACATTTTATGACACATGGAAGTCCGTTGCCTGCGTTATGAACAATAGGAAAAGCGTTAACGACACCTATCCATTTCGTCACAACCTTATTGCAAATGTGTGCTAGTGAAAGTTGAAACGACTGTAATTTTCAGACCCTAAAACTTGAATATTTAACGCAATCGTTTACACGTCTCCTTTTTTCATCAAGAAAGTTTTGTGTTAGGTTTAAAACTAATATTAGCGAGTCGTGGAGTTTTTATTTATGTCCACTGCAGCGGTAAGGATATTTCTTAGAAGTATTTCGTAATTGCAATTCGGTCCTCGTAATGGATAGGTATTATTAAAGGCGATATTCGTCCATCCGTCTTTCAAGATTACAAACTTTACGCCGTTAGAGTCAAGAAAAATAAGGTTAATAAGAAGTGGTTCCTTACCATTTCCTTCATTTGGGATAACAATTCTAGTTGTTGCACTTATCTGCCAAATTACATTTATATTTTTATTGGATGATACATTTTGAATGACTCAGATAATCTGCTTTTGGTATTTCTTCGCCTTTTTTCAAGGACTCCTTTAGGTAATTACGAAAAATAGGGAATAACCAGTAGGCTCCACCGTAGATTATCCAGCACCTGTAAGGCTTTTTAATTCTTCTTCTGCATTTCTGCTTTTTTTTTTTTGGTGGGGAAACTCTGCTTTTATTTATTTACATATTTCTATTTGCATTATTTAAAAAATTTACGGCTTCCGGTTAACATACAAAGTTCACTTAAGCATCTTTTTAAAATTTTATAGAAATATAAAAAAAACAACACACGCTTAAAATTTACATCAAGCTTTTGATTTGTTTTCTTCTTTTTTTGCAAAAAAAAATTATTTACGTAACATAAACTTTAATTTTAAGCAATTGACTAATTTCCCTGCAACTGTTTCTTTCTTCTTTTTCATAAACAAAATCATGAACAAAAACAAAAAAAATAAAATAATTCTCAACTTACTAACAAATATAATAAAAATTAAATATGAAAACAACTGTGCAATTAACACCGCGGAAAAAACATCATCTTCTCCATATATAATTAATATCTGTAAATAAAAAAAATACAAAAAAACAAAAACAAAAAAAAATTGTGGAGATCTCATGTTTAAATCACCATGAATTTCTATTATTTCTATTTTTCCCGTGAAATATTGGCTTAAATATCCGTAATGGAATAACGAACGTTATTGTTGCGTGTTGTTGCTTCTCTTCCTCGTTGTGACGTTTGCAAATATTGGCAAATATGGTCGTTGGTTGCTACGATGATTGTGTGCATGTTTTTGAATGAAAAAAAAAAAAAAAAAAAAAAAAAATTAAAATAAAAAGACTCCGGCATAGGAAGAGCCACACCACCACGTCGGGCTCCGTCCCCAGGCATGGCTACATTAAGTCGGCAAATGCCTTCGCCTTCGGGACCAGGTTCATTGCCACCCGGTCTGATATCGAAACGACGTGGTATGGATGATGGATCAAGTGATGTATCGTCTTCGACACCAAATTCAATGATGGATTATTCGGGTTCGTATGTGTTTTAAAAAGAACAAATAAGAAAAACTATACATTCGCTTAAGGGCGAGTCGTTATAAATATTCATCATCTGTAATCAGTACACAACATTTTTTTTAGAGATTTTGTTAACTATAGGCCTGTCAATTTTAGGCGATCGCTCTGAACAAGATCCTTGCGGCAAGTTTTAAGTCGATACTTGCTACAACCTATACGCTACGCTGCACACACTTATTTTTATATAAAAGTTATTACTATACAGTCAAGTTTAGACGACGCTAGTAAATATTTGTATACAATACTAAATTTGATACCCCCTCCTATAGTTTCGAAGTACGTATATAAATATTGTCAAGGGCCTACACCCATTGTCAAACCCAACCTTTTGTGGACGAGTTTCATTTTTCATTCATTCATTTTCAAGCATAAGCTTTAAATCATTTACTAAGAATGTATGTGTATGAACTCCACATATGATGGTGGGGTATGATTTATACCTGTCTTCCTGTCCATCCATCTATCAACGGTTACGCCTACTTCCAAATGTCATCATTTTGATCATCAAAGTGAATTTAGATGGGTTTGCCTAATATATATACCGAATTTAAGTTAGGTTAACTTCGGTTAAAGTTACAACTAACACTTCAAATTTGGTCTGCGACTACTACGAACGACTAAGGTTAGCGATGGCATGCTTTCGATCTCCGTCCGTTTAAATTTCTGTTACGGAAAGTGAGCCAAAAAACGAAACAGGAAGCATGGGAGGCCGAAATCGACTCAGAATAAGATCCGAGTTAATATAACACATATGTTTTAGAGAAGATTTCTAAGGTTTTGCTCTAGTTGGATGTTACAGCACAAGCGTACATCTAGTATGCCTGCTTCGATCTTCTATGGTGGGTATACAAATGAAATAAAAAAAAAAAAAACAAAAAAAATGAATTAAAAAAATTCAAAAGTAAAACAAAAAAATTAATCGAAACACATCATTAAAACATATTCTTTATTTTTTATATTAAAAAAACCCAAAACTCACCTAAAATTTTTTTGTTTTATTTATTTATTTAAAATTATTATTTTCTTATTTATAATTATTATTACTGTTATTATTGTTTTTTTTTTTTTGGGAGCTTAAAAGCAAGCGTCAGGAGGATACTTAGGTTTGTTTAGGAGAATCGGGTCTATCTTCATTCATACTTGATTCATACTTTTCTTAATGAAATTTTTTAAAATTTTTCTATAAATAAGTTGTTTGCTCTTATCTTCCTAATGGCCTGATGCCGTTGCATTTCCTTTTTGAATATTAATCAACTTGCCTTGAGATCTACTAATCCTTTAGCTCTATCTGTCTCTCTCTCTGTCTCTCTAGATTTAATTTGATGAAACGTTTTGCCATTAGTTTTAGTTTCATATGCAATGAAATATTTTTAATTTATTTTTTCACTTGTTTTGTTTTGTGTTTGTCTGATTTTTATTGCTGTTTTGTTGCTGTTATCTATATATTATATATATACATATATTTGTATTGATTTTTTAAGTATTTGAAAACTAACACCCAAGTCGTAGATTAATATAAATTAATTTTTTGATTAAATGTTGCATCGTTTGATGTATGATTGATTCTTAGGTCCTAAATTGTATAAACAGCCGGCTGCCAAATCAAATCGTGGCATTATTTTGAATGCTGTCGAATATTGCGTCTTCCCGGGCGCCGTTAATCGTGAAGCCAAACAAAAAGTACTTGAAAAGATAGCTCGCTCAGAGGCCAAACATTTCCTAATACTCTTCCGTGATGCTGGCTGCCAATTTCGGGCTTTATATAGTTATACACCGGAAACAGAACAAGTCTTCAAACTGTACGGCACAGGTCCTAGTCAAGTGGATGAAGTCATGTTTGACAAATTCTTCAAGTAAGTGTCAAATACAAAAAATTGCAAAAAAAAAACATCTCTTGAATTAAAGACCAGATGATCCAGTTCATTTTTCTTTCGAAGTCAAAGAAGAGGTTCAATTCAATTTTCAAATTCATGGCACTCTGCCCTTAGGGAAGGATCATCAACCATTGACCAAAGTACCACTAGAAGTGTAGTAAAAACAGGGAAGTTATTCAGAATGTATTCAAAGCATGGCGTAAAATATGTGAAAAAATTATTGGGATAAGAGGCTTTTCCTACTTGAAGGGAGTGATGACGGGATGGAATAGAGTTTTAGGACAAGATTGAGAATTAAGAAACCATTTAGCCGCTGTTGTCAAAAGGAAGAAAAAACAAGTCGTGAAAATGACATATGGACATCGCAAAATAAAAACGAGGTCGTGCGGGCACCGATGATACTAAACGCAATGGACGTTCACCAAACTGTGATTACACTAGAGGAGAATATGAAACGGTCCTAAAGATTACTCTCGATAATTGAACAGTAAAGTTGCGAGGTATAGTTGAAACCTCAAGGATAGTAAAACGCAGTGTTTTCACTGAAAAAAATTTGATGGTAGAAGTGACGAAACTGGGCTGTATTACCCTTTCGGAAAGCGAGCAGAACCGCATGAATTGAATCTCGAATTGCTAACGAACTTATCGTATTCTTCAGCAGCGACTATTATTTGCTTGCCAATTTGAAAATGATGCTTCAGACGAAACTGCTGAGATGATGTGATTTTATCTACGAAACTGAAGCATGTTTTGAGGCTACTCACATAAGTCATTCTATAAAAAAGGCATCAAATTTTAGAAAAGCCTTGGACTGATGACGGTTTTCTTCGCTGAAACCGATGTATTACTTACATGCACCTAATCCATCCCCTTAAAGCGTTTATTTCTATTCAGAAAATACTCAAGGTGGAGTGGTGGCTAAGAAATAATGCGAAATATTTGAAGCGTCGGCAATAAAAAGCCAGTCACTTTCCGGATAGTGTTTCAAATACAGTCCAAGTGGATGCTGGCAGAACTACATAGCTTTGCGGAAACCGTTTGTGCTGGAGCTTGCTGAACTTAGGCGAAGGAATGGGGCCAGGCCAACAGAAAAATAGTACTCACTTTGTTTTTTAAATTTTCCAAGGCGGCACATGCAAATGGAGGGTAACTTGAGTATTATTATGCCAAAAATAAATAAACAGCTATAATTACGGGTTGGCAATGAAAATACCATTAACTCACATTTAGTTCGCGAGATTTCATATCTCGAAAGTGGCGAAGAATGGTAAAGTATGGAATGTAAAATATCCAGTAAATTTATGTAAACGCCTTACAACAGCAACAGGGTGAACATTTCAAAAAGTTAAAATGCCGAACAAGAGATATCATAAGTCATTCTCGAAGACAGCGGGTGCCATAATCCAAGCAAGAGTTGAACTTAATAAAAGAAAATTTTTTTTTAATTGTAATTTTTTTATTAAATCATAATGTGTGTAGGATAACGCTATGTGTGGAGTAGCACATCGGACTTATGGCCCCCATGGTTTTGTTGGCTCTTTTATCGAAATTCTGATCACAGAAACGTGAGAGTACCCAATTAGGGGATATCTGGCGTATTAATTGAGCTTTTCGCGCGATGTATGGCACGTCGTAAGGCCGCGTTGGCATCAATTGCCTTTCACATCAACATCGTCCAGTTTAGGCGGATAAAACTGGGTTATCATAGTGCGATATCGAGCGCCAGTAACAATCGTTTCTTGACCAACCTCATTTTCGAAGAATCATGACTGGACTTTTAACAGCAACAGATGCCAAATTTTGATTTCCCATATGTTTCACATATGTTGGCAATATTAACCAGTTAACTGTGTACGACGAGTATACACGTTATGTAAAAAATGCAAAATTTTGCGTTATAACGAATATACGCGTCCATCCGTCTTTGCCCAATTTCCTCATAAAATTTTCTCATTATGAATGTGTATTTGTCCTAACAAGGTTTCTGGAATGTGCGTATGTCACTGCAGCGTAATTTCATATTACACTTACTCCGTGTATGATGAGTAACTTTACGCACTTTTTAGCGTAGCGGTCGACACGGACAGCTTAATCGTACGCAGACCAGTTTGCATTTGCGGAACCTTTGATGCTATTTAAAACTGGAAACTGGGAATCTGCTAGAAATGTGAAAACGAAATGTATCAAAAAATAACTTATTCGTTTTAGTTTCCTTTGCTCATAATGCACTCGGAACTTCCTCGCATATTAATGAATACTTATTTATTTATTTACCCATTTTTTTGAGATATTTGATGAGTTCAGATACTGCACATAACTTCAATAAAAGAATGAACTGAAATTGTCTGGAAATGTTGCTCATTTGATCGTTTGATTCTTATGAGAAGATATAAAATATTAAAATATTTGTTTTATTCTTTTTTATGAATAGATATAACTCAGGAGGCAAATGTTTCTCTCAAGTCCATACGAAACATTTAACGGTTACAATAGATGCGTTTACAATACACAATTCATTGTGGCAGGGCAAAAAAGTGAATTTGCCCAGTAAAAAGGACATGGCTTTGGTTATCTAAATTAAGCGAAACAAAAGTGAAATTTATTTTAAGGATGTATTTTTATTTTTTTAATTATATTTTTTCCATTTTCTTTTCTATTAGTGTCTCCTTTTTTTTATAACTTTGTAATTAAGCTCTCATTATGCCACAGAATTAAATGATAAAACAAAAACACCTTGAATGGATTATAAACGTTAAAGGGAAACCATTAATTAAAATTAATATTAAAAAAAAAAAAATTAATAAGTAACTAAAAACAAAAAGCTGGTAACGCAATGCTTGATTAGTAAAGTCTTTGTAAGAAAAATGTTAAACTATTCGTATATACCGTTAAATCCTTCAATTCCCCTCTCCCTTCCCGCCCTGCTCTATTAACATTATGTTATAAGTTTAAAGTGTAATCCTTCTTTTATATATATATATATATGTATATGTATTTATATATATATATATATATGTATTATTTTTGTTACTAATTCATGTAAATTTTTCTTATATTTTTAACCAAATTAATACAAAACTGAAGAACAAAAAGGAACTAATAGAATGAACTGCAAATCTTTCGCCCTGTAGGCTCCATCTATTTATCTATTCACTTGTCTGATAACTTATTTAAATGTAAAGTTTATGCTAAAAAAGTGCATATAAAAATAATCTTCATCCCCACATATGAATATATTTAAGCACTAATAATAATAATTTAATACTATTTCTAGATTTTAACGTAACTTTTTTTTCTCTAGTAGTCTGAATTTTATATCTTTTTCTTCCCACTTTTCGTCTCTATATATCTTTATATATATATACATATATGTTTTACATTTCATATACATATGTATGTATATGTAATATATATATATATATGTATGTATGTACGTATATATATATATATATGTGTGTATGTATGAACAATAAGAACAATTAATGCCAAGAAATGTTTCTTTGATCCCCATCTTTAAGAAAAAAATATTTTTTAAAATTATCATTATTATCATTATTTTTATTAAACACATAATCATTGAATAATGCATTGAACACCCCTTTTTTTTTTTGTAATTTAAAATAAATTTTATCTGACCGCATACATAATTAAAACAGTAATGAACAAAAATTCCACAACATAAATATAACCGATATGTACTTTAGTAATATTAATAACAGAGGATTTTTTGTATTTCTAAATAAACAAAAAAAAAAATTGAAAAAATTCAACAAGTATTACAAAATATATTGTTCCGAATATAACAATTGGTGTTTTTTTTGCCTCTCTCTCTCTCTCTCTCTCTCTCTCTTTCTCTTCCTTTCAAGCTCTCTCTATGCCTTCTTGTTGGTAATGGCTATTTCTGTTTCTTGTAATGTATAGTGGATGGCATAAAAGAACTTTAGAATGCTTCCGCTACTGACTCAAAATGTTTACCTGAATTAGCAAAAGCACCTTAGATGAAGTTATTTTCTATGCCGAAAGTGACAGAATTCACTCCTCCTGTTCTGCGTTTGTTTCAGTAAAAGTATCTATGAATATTTTCAACAGACAACGCGAGGCCGGAAAGTGAACATTACAAATATCAGCTCATTTTTAAGGGTGTAATCTTCGGAAAATATTTCACAATTTAAAGAAATTTTAACTTTGGTATATGGGACAAACTAAGATAATAGGTGTATAAATAAATTTTGTAAATTTTTTGATCAGAATTCAACTTTATTTAAAACATACTTGTTGTTACAAAGCTTAGCAATTGAAATACTCGCGATCATTAGCTGTGGTCTTTTGCCTCTTGTCGCGGGAACTTGCGGACGTTGAACACGGCCCATACTTTTTTGAAGTGCCTTGCTTCCTTGAATGGTAATTCAACTTTTCTGCTTTTCTGGACAATCTATATTTTACCGCTTTTCTTCATGTGTGAGAGATGTCGTCGCCGCAAACAATCCTGAAGACAATTTCATAAACAAATTCCTCTGAAGATGAAAATTTGATTGACCTTTTTCCTAGTTAACACTTTACCTCTACAAAATCTAGGTTTTAAAAAACGACATTTTATTCTTTTGTGATACGGGAAGCCGTACTGATTTGAAAACTAACGCGATTTAGAATTCGTAACATCGAACTCATACGATTTCGATACTCACCTCTTTATCATGACATCTGTGTTCTGGCACTGAGTGCCTGCATTTCATTTAGTTCTCAACGTTGCTTAAACAGATTATTACGTTTTCAGCTAAAACAGGGGAAGAAACCTATTCAACCTGGATTCAAGTTCGGTGTACACCAATAAAGAGAAAGAAAGTAACGAATGGTAATTATTACTACCTGCACCAGTTGTAATACAAGGGTTTATTAACTATGCAACATGTAGAAGGACTTTAGATAGACCACTTTCTGAATTGATTCGGGTTTGTCCGTCCTCTAGCCCGTCTTGTGCTTTTGTGTTCAACCTATGGGCCGCAATTTTTGAGATATTATGGTAAAATTTGGTCCATCGACGTGTTTTGCCTCAAGGGTGAACGCTGTTGAAAATGCTTCAAATTGGACAACTTTTTCGATCACTTCCCATATAACGCCTTATTTTGTAAAGTCATTATATGAATAATTGCAGGCTTGTGTGGGGTATTTATTGGTGGCCCGCTATGGCGTTTTACTTGTTTTTTGATTACGAAATGATTGTTTTTTTTTGATCAAATGAAAGCTATCAAAAATCTTTAATGTAGGTAGACCGGTGCGTTGCTTGTAGCCATGTTATATGCGGCCTTTAAGGGCTCCTAAGATGGAGCTACCCATTTTTCCAGTTACGATTATAGCTAGCATTCCCTTTTCATTCATGATCTGTTTTGAAGCAACCGATAAACAACATGCCATTAAAATTCAATTTGTTATTCACATTCTTCGCAGCTTAAGCAGCTCAGCTCAACACACATATATCATCAAAAATGTTTTCAAATCAAATCAGTTCAATTGCTCAAGTGCTCAAGAAAAAAGCAATAGAAACGGCTCTGATATTACGATGGGTTAGTAAAGAGCGAAACCAAAATATATGCATATTTTGTTTGGTGATTAAAAGATTCTTTATTTCAGAAAAACAATTTTGGAATTTAATTTTAAGAATATTAAGTCTAATAACAATAACAGTGGGTTTATGTAAGTTGCCACACCTTATAGCATAAACTATTTAAAGCTTATGAGACACATTTGGTTTTTGTATCGCAGCTATGTACCAAGGACCTAAGCCAGGATGCCCTCCGTCCAATAAAGTGGATTGTGTACCAAGGTGCTTACACAATGACGATTGCATATGTTGTCAAAATATGTGCCGTAGTACTTCATGTATTTCCATATATTGGATGAATAATCCGAGTAAGTTATTGTGGTAGCAAAAAGTGGACAATTAAATCAGGATCAGGACTTTTCATTCTTGACATACTTCCATTTGCTTTCTTTAAAAGCCTGTTACGATCGAATTATTAACCTTCGCGTTAGGAAAAATTGCGCGTCATTATATGAATTTCTATACACAAGCACATTGCCATCAATTTTTAGTTGATGACGATTACTTCGCTTTCCAAATATCAGCCATTCTTGCGTCAAATTACTTTAAATAAATGTATAGGACGCCACGAAAGTACGATTGAAGTATTGTATAGGCGACACTTTTATCTATTTTAATCCAAACCGCTCTATGGGCGTTTCGCAGAAATTTGATCCGATCGGGTAAATAAACTATTTGGGAAATGAAAAGGTTAAACAAAGTTAAAACAAGTAAAAAGACTATAGTAGGCCACGACCCACCATCAAATATCACTCTACCACCCAATAGTTATTTACTTAATGACTTTTGTCATAAGGCGTCAAATTCGAAGCGAACGAATCCGAACAATTTTGAATAGCGTTTGCCAAACCGCGTCAATGTACCAAATTTTATCAAAATATCTCAAAAGGGGTGGCCTGTATTCAGAAAGTGGGAGAAGGTGGGTCGGACGCAAGACATTCCGGGCGTTGCATGTCTGTGTGAAAACTTAATATACCCCTGTACAGCAAATGGTGTTGGGTATAAAAATTGGCTGCTAACACCAAGTAAGAATGGTAGAATCGTGCAAGGCCGACGAATAATACGCCAAAAATTATCCATTAATTTTATGTAAATACATAAGTTTGACGAAAACCCTCATATTGAAGGATCTTTAAGCGTCAACGCGGTCTAAATTTAGCAAACGTAATCCACCTATCAAAGATGTTATTATTTTCCAATTGATTCCGTCATAACAAACCCACAAATTAGGAAAACTAGCAACTTTTAGGAAAAATCGGGCCCTATGCGTACAGTTGCACAAATTTTCCACCATTTAGTTCTTTGAAATAAAAGCTTTGTTTAAATTAATTTTTTTTTTTTATATATATATAATTTATCTTGAAAAAAATTGCCGGTTCTTTAACTCTAAGAGTGTTTTGCATTATTTTGTTTTACATAGCAAAATATTTCAGCAAAATATTTGAAATTCGTTGGTTATTTGCAAATTGCGCAAAATTCCCTAACAATTCAATGTGTCTTTTAATGATATTTGAAGACTAAAATGAAGTTTTAGCTTGCGCGGTATAAGTTTATAAAAAGTTTAAAATTAAACATTTTATGTTTTCTAATATTAGTTGCACCCAACCGAACGGATACTTACTGTGGTGATTATCACTGTCGCATTACAGAGGAGTGCATATATCGGGACTATAAAACGGGATGTAGGACACATAACAAAACTATTTATAATTATTAAGATAATAAGAATATTAAAATCTATTCTTCTTTATTATTAACGAGTGACTTGTATGCAAAATATATATAGATATAATGGAAAAACAAGGTGTATTAAAAATGAGCGAACATTGGTTAAATATAAAATCATCTTTTTATTTAATTGTTCACCATATGATCTCTATTAAAATAGATTCCATTTAAACAATAAGCTGATGTCAATGCTTATATCAGTCATAGAAATATTCTTACACGCATTTCGCGGCAACGCCATTTCGATTTCTTTTTTACGAAGTTGGCTAACTCGGGTCGTCTTCAACAGCGGCAATTTATCTTTGTAGCAAAAAAACAAACCCATTCAATTTGAAATCTATTGATGATGCGGCGCTTCTCCTATAAAACTTGTGTAATTCGAACTTTAACCTATTCCACGAATTGTTTACCACTTTCAACGATAAGAGAGGCCTTTAAAATCCAGAAAGATATCATAAAAATAAGCAAAGTCCCTAAAGAAAATGCTTACACACACATAATTTTCGTTTTACATCATGAATACGTGCCCCATAAATCCGTCTCAAAAAAGATATTAGCTAAATGAAAAAATAGTACAGTGCTTCCAGACCTCAAAAAGCACTAAAAAGTGCAATTAACAATAATAAAAAATTCTTGCTAGAATTCACTTAAGAATATATTTCGTGCTTACACATTTTAATTCATTACATATATTTTAAGAAACAAGATATACAGTGAAAAATCAATTTAAATTTCGTAAAAAGTATGTTGCGACTTTACTCTATGCATAACTCAGGAGAGACCGCCCATATACGCATATAATCAAATTGTGAAGAATATAACAATAGAACAATGCATATTTGTGGCAAAAAAACTATTTACTTAAGCCCGTAAAAATTTAAATTCAATTCAGTTGAAATGGTTTGGGTCCGTATGCAGTTTTTAAGTTCAATTCAAATACTTCAGAGGAGTATTGTTGCCCGGAGAAAAGATTTCGTAAAGGTTACTCTAAATATTGAAAATATCGAAGGGCTGTTCGATGTTTTTAAACCTTTCATGATCATCTTTAATCATTCAGCCGTCGCGATGTCCTCGAAAAATACGCACTTAAATTGTGTCGCAAAATCTAACTGCGGGACAAAATTTTTGATACCAATTTATGCAGAAGCCAGAGATCTCACCACACATGCAGGCCGCTATATGGGAAAGTGAGTATCTTAAAGTCATTACTTTTATCACTTCCTTTGTGAGAAGAAAAGTTCTCTCGGAAACTGTTTTGTAAGGTCCGCACTTTTTTTGCTTATATAGTCTGGAAAGTTGCTTGTCATGGAGTATTTAAGCGATTATTCCTGGCTAACCAATATTCTATTGATGATCATTTCGATGTCCTTCTTGCTTTTTTGTTTTTTAGATTGCTAGAGGAAAAAATAAAGATAAATTACTTCAAATTTAAAAGATTTTTATCTAAGCTATGTTTATTTTGTATCAAGATGTCTTTATGTTATTCGCTCTGAAATTTAGGGTTTATGCTTCATATTATCTTATAAGATGAAAAACAAGCGATAAATGCAATTTATTTTTTTAAGTTAACATATGGTTTTCAAGTGAAACCGTTTAATCGATTTTATTTCTTTATTATGCTTCTTCTTTTAAGTTAATTTTCTTCTTTCTTTACTTCAATAATCAATCAAAAATATAATTCACGTTTGCATTTATTTTTTCTATCGCATCTTTTCAAAAACTCCCTCTTTACATTTATATTGATTTCTTTATTTTTGGTTCTAAAATCATATAATTTTGTTTACGCGCCTTCCCATTGTATTTATTTACCACAACGGGACTTTTAAGCCGAAAACAAAAATAGCGCATCATTGTATTAGTACCTACTTTAAAGCATGTGAAGAAAAAGTTTTGTTATACTTAAATATCTTCACTTCCTTTGCTGTTCCAGTTTTCTTTATTGCGTTTGATTAATTTATCTAGAAATCTAGTCTTTACACATACATGTCCCAAAAATCCGCAGTAACCGGGCTTAGCTCGCTTACTCTCATACCGTTTGTTTAAATTTGGGCTTGGCTCTGTCTACATGTACATAAAGTTTTTGTATAAAGCAAAGACTACTGTCACTTTGTTGTATTTTCGAAGCGATAATTCTGGTTTTTCGTTATTTTATTGCGATGTTCCGTAACAGAACTTTATAATTCCTAGCTTTCCCACTCCAAATTATTAACGCCAATAAGGGTTTATTAAAATTTTGACTTCGTATGTTTGCTCCGACATTTCGCTTAATTGCAATAGATTCCTCTTATATCAGTTTGGTATCTTCAATTCAATTTTTCTCTATTAAGCATACTTGGCAGCACTCTGTCCTTCATATGTTCTTGCATGTGAAAACAATTTTTTTGTAAAATGGTTCGTAAATTGAAATATCATGAAAAAAAGCTATTAAAAAAAGTCGATTTTATAACATGGAAAGTTGACAATGGCGGCCAGGAAAACAAAATTCTTAGGCGATATCACATACGTAAACGGGATGACTATACCAAGTAGGTATGTGCGTGCAAAATGTGCTTTTAATAATTTTATTTTGTGAAGGTATAACAAACTTTCGCGGGAGGTGCGGGAATTAGTGGAAAAAATCGCAAAGCTCGACAAAAGTGATTCGTTTAAAAGCGAAGCATCCTTTATGCTATTGGAAAAATTATATAGCATGGGTTTAACAGGCGACAAGGTTGATCTTGAAACAGCTAGTCGAGTCTCAGCTAGTTGTTTCTGTCGGCGGCGCTTGCCGGTAGTAATGGTGAAAAGTAAGTACCTTAAGCTGTAAATAATAGAAAAGTGTAGGATTACACTAAGAAAGTTAAGACGTTGCAACAGGGATCGGGAATTTTAACGGAAAAAGGGCATTTCATTCAAAGCGGCGCCTGTTCTGATGACCCATCTTCAGATGAAAAATTGCATTTTTCCTGATTATGATGTAAAGTTTGGTTTGCATGCTCTTCAACTAAAACCTGTAGTTTGGATTTGCGATCAACGCCTTCCGCGTTAACGCTCTCCGCTTCAATATTGCACATAATAGATGGATAGGTACATTGACCTTTATGCGAAAACAAAGTATTGTCTTCCCTTTAGGGCACGCAAATCGTCTTTTTTCACCCATTTCCGTTATGATTAAACAGGATCTCTTGAAAATAATTTATCTACAATTTATATTCGGAAAACGTTCAAATAAACGCCCATCTGTAAAATAGAGTGTCCAAATATTTAGGATCATTTTAAAATCGGTGTCTACAACATTCCCTCTAAGATTTGTCTTTGTGAACTTTTGTCAAGGACGATACAATAACTAACAATTCAATGAAATTGAATTCAGGGTTCTACCTTAGTCGAAAGAATTGCCAGCAATGTTAGTTAAAATAGACGTTTTTCTTGGAAGGTGATAGGGTTTTTACTCCAAGCAGTTAATGCAGCCATTTAATGCAGTAATTTAACTAAAATGTAACATTTAATCAAGCGTTTGCTTTCAATATATTTTTTAATATTATGTAATTTCTTAGATAAACTTTCACAAAACATAAAAAATGCAACGGCCTTGATTGAAGAAGGTCATGTGCGAGTCGGTGTTGAAATGATTAAAGATCCGGCTTTCCTAGTCTCTCGTAACCTAGAAGATTTCGTTACTTGGGTTGATGGGTCCAAAATTAAACAACACGTTATGGCTTATAACGATATGCGAGATGATTTTGAAATGTAACCATTATTAATATGGGTGTCATTTATATGTAAGAATTTTCTTTTAATATAATGTATTTTTAATATTCAAAGTTTCTATATGTGATTAATAAGCAGCCAATGACTGATAAGGAATTAATAAACGAAATATTTAAAGCGAAGAGAAAAGCTAAATATGAATTTGAGGTGAATTTACGAAATAAATTTTTGGGTTGTTCAGCAAGTACGTTAATATTGCACTTGATATTGCACCTTTGCGTATTTTTATGCATTTTATTTACTTTTGATTTTACCGAAGGAAAATCTGTTGCGACCAAACATAAAAGGATTAAAATTTTGTGTGGAATAATCAATAAGTAATTCTGATTGACGTAACTTTAGGATCAAAGTCCATCGGTTGAAATTGTTGCTTGGGGTTTATTCGTGCAAAATAGGAGAATAATAAGGAGTTGCATCAAATCTTTTAACAAAATATATATATTCAGATTCCGCTGTAAAATCTTTTAAATTTTGCCGCGTTTCATAGTCTAAGGTGGTGATTATGAAAAAAATTCGTATCTACATCTTTTCAATTTTTCTACTAACAATGAAAAACGTTACAATGTCCGCCCAGTGTCCTGTAGTATTTCGTCTAATGCAATTCTTCATTTATTTTCGTGATTAAAAGCCGAAAATTATTTCTGCCTGGTTTTTATATAAAGGCATGCCCTTCGTGCCAGCGTTTGTATGCGAAGGACAGCAAAATATGAGCCGACAGAGCGCAAAATTACACAAATTTTGCAGCGCTTAAGAAAATTCATACATTAAGAGACCTTTGATCCATCATTCTGGATATTGCAAACCGAAGAACAAATGTAGTGCGTCGTTGTTTTTGTTGGTGTGATTATAAAAATGTAAATTTTTCTTATTACTTTACGCTGTGTTGCGCAGTTTTTTGGTACTTCCAGTGCCACGTATGGCGATTCCTTTCGATTTCACCTCAACTACAAATCGCTGCTTGCGTGACTTGTCTTTATTATTATCTTCCGTAATTAGCTCAAATATCGGTTCTTTTTCGCCGTGGATATGATGCCATTACAGCAGTTTCGTTGGAGGACAGGACGCGTGGAGGCATGGACGATCGCTATTATGGTCTGACGGTGAGCGGCGGTACATTTTGTTCGTCAATCTGCTGCTCACGGATGTATCGTGCTATTGCGCATCCTGTGAGCCGCAGGAATTCTTCTACCTCCCAATCGAGGCCAAATGGTACAAACTATTCTTCAACCCCGCTTTCTTCAAACCCCGAGTTCGTAGCTCATTTTATTGTCATCAGCTCTGACTCCTTCTGCCCATCGTTCCACCTGAAGGGCCATCAGTCTTTTTGTCAGCGTCGCTACTATTTCTGATAACCTGATCTTCTTCCTGCTAGTGCCATGTTGTGGAAGAATCTTTTCAATAGATGCTCCCTTGCCCTGTATGGCGCGAAGATTATGCCGGGGTAAGCCTGCAGCAGCTCGTCCATGAATACTGCGAAATTCCTGAATGTGACTCGTGTATCCACCGCCTCTAAATTTTCAGATAAATACTCATGAACGTCTTCCAGTTCAGCTTTGAGCTCCATCCATGTATCGCTGTTGGCGGAGCTACGGTGGAAGACGTTCGCGAACTTCGTCAGGGATCTCCTCGTTGTCGATTGCTGCTTGTAATGCCGCGCCTTGCACATCGTTTATCGTGTGTAGCGACTGTTGTACACGCCGTTAACAAAATTGCCAAGAAATCGTCTGTTAGGTGTAAATCTGTCGCAGACGACAGCCCTCACATCCATGCCCATCCCCTCCGCGGCTTGGAAATTCCCCTCTAATAGCGGCCATATTTCTCCCCTAAGGGATGTGCAGGGGTAGCTGTTGAGCAAAATGTTGAATGCGGTCGACAGACTTCGTGCTGCGAAGACCAGGATAGTGCCGTGATCCATTTTTTCGTTTTGGACTTTTTACTATAGTCGCATCCCTGCAGCATGTCTTCCGCCCGTGAATGCACCGCCGCCTGATTCGTGTACACCTCGTCGAAATGGACCTGCACAATCCTGTCTATGGGGTCAGTTCATCAAACTTCGATTGACGATTTTTTCGCCATCTCCTTGCCGCCTGGGTTGATGTCGATGGTCTGTCGTACTCCTCATCAGCCATCATCACACATTCCTCCAGAAAATCGCCCAGGCTCCTCCGCATCGGAGTAGGCGTAATCGGCATCATCTGCATGGAGGTAGGCGTCCTCGACGCACCAGTCTTGTCAGCCCTACTTTCAGCGTCGCAAATCATTTCTGTCAGTGCTAATATAACATCATCTATGACTGATATATTCCCATCTAGCACGCCCTCCTCAAATCCAAAAAACTTTTCGACCTCTAAACGGATAATTTCCTCTAGTCTCTGTTTACGCTTGATTTGTTTCTTAATGTTCTCCACTGCCCGCTTACAGTCAAATTCTTGCGCATACCGTAGGCATGCTCTATGAGGTGGGAACTGTCCTTTTCAAGTCTTTTCAGACCGACCCTAACGGACTGTTAAAGTTTTGTAATATAGCGAACAGTCATCGCCCGATTTAGTTCCAAGCAACGCCTATATGCCAATTCCTTGTATCTTCCGTTAGTCGATACCGCCCAAGGACGTCGCAATATCGGTTATTCGCGGAGGAGCCTACTTAGCGCTTTATCGGTAGCTTTTCTATTTTCCATCGTTTAACTAACGAGATAATGCAAACAAACATTTCTTGAAAAATCGCACCAACGCGTAATTATTTGTGCAAACTTGTAATGAATCAAAAAAGGAAATGCCGGGGACTTGAGCAAAAGTCAGGTGTAAGCGGACTTTAAGTGCGCATTTGAAGACCTTGTCAAAGACATTTTATACTAAAGCAGCAAAAAATTTCTTCTATAGTTTATTTACAAAGGTGAATACGATACTAATATAAAAATTAAAAAGTTATTTGTTTTTGCTGCCTTTTTGTAAAAATAATTTTTCTTACGCTTACATTAAAAAAAATTATTTTTATGAACACACAGCAATAAACAAAAATAAACAATAAAAAAATTTAAAAAAGTACACCTGCCTAAGGGGAGTTCTTGACATTCGTATTCTTAGGTTATTCTTTCATCGAAGAAGATCTTGAAAATTCTCCCTTTTCCGCTGTTGCGGCACAAAACTAGGATCGTACCTAAGTCTAAGGGCACAGACAATGTTACCCGTTGAGAACCGGAGATACAGTTGGACAACGACGATTTCAAATTCTGCGCGGAAAATTATATACGCAAACAATGGATTGCAGAAGGCAAAGATCCGGACAAAATTGAAATTTTGTGAGTTATTAAGTGAAGAGAAAAGAAAGTTTAAGTAATTTTGAAGCGAATTCTTTTTAGTTATAAAAAGCAACAAAAAGATAAAATACGTGAAGAACGTGTGAAGTGTTCGGAAAGCGAAGGGTCGTCAAGACTGATGGAAGATGAGCATTTTAAAGTCATAGGTGCGGAAAAATTTCAAGGCCGAAAATAGAAATCGAAATCCAAGCTAGATGAGAAGTTTCCAAGTGAAGTTAAAAACAGCAAATAAATAGAAACTTCCTAAAGATGAAAATTGAAGTAAAAATATTTTATTCAAAATTTTTACTTATTTCTCTTGTTCTTTTCGTCCTTATTATCATCTTAATAATTTTTATTTGAATCTATTGTAATTAAAATTTAATTTGTTTTGTTTTTTAATGTGTCGATAATTTTTGTCTTTTCTGTTTCTCTTAAAGTTTTTATTTTGTTTTTCCTAAAAATACCTGTAGCATAATTCTCTGATTAAATAAAATTTCTTAATTGTATACAAAAACCAAAGTAAACGATAACGCAAAATAACACATACATGTCATAGGCGAGCCACACGTTTTTAACGATACTTGAAATAATGAGAAACTGCCCGTTATTAAGGAACCAACAACTATTATTAAGTTATATGCATATTGGTAGCAGGAAAATTTCATCATTGAGGCTTATCCTAACAGCACCTTGCAGTCGTTCATGTACGTAAAGCTGACAACTAATCTAAAAGCTACTTTACTCATTATCAAACGTTCGGGCTGTTTTTGCTGTCTAATCCAAAAGACCGTAACCAATAACCTATATTCGATTACATAAATTATCTAATCACGTTGTAGAGGGATGTACCTCACCAACTCTTTTTTTATCTGCATAATACTACACATCAATGATACGTTCAATTTCCGTACGCTTTCATCCTATGTTGATTCAGATATTGGCTTTCACGCTTCTCTAGAGGAGAATTGTACTCCTGCACCTCTTTTCGATAGGACCAATACAATTACCATCATTTCGTAAATATGAAAATTTGCCATAAAATAAAAATAAAAAAGCAATTAGTTACGTCACTACTTACCGATTGAAAAGGAAGAGATTCGTGTACATTGCGGGTGTACGTTGTAAGAAATGTGTAAGAATGTAATTTCGGAAAGTACGAACAGGGCTTCTTTCTTCATATGCGAAGCTCTTAATATAAACGAGCCAAGCCAAACCTTTCTGCACATCTATGTGCAAATCTTGAGTCAAATGATGCCATTTGTTTAAAGCTTGCAAACCCAAACCGTGGTAAATGTTTTCATCTTGCACACTCAATAATAAGTCAACCGGTATGTAGTGGACGCGATATGTATGTTTAGTTTGACAATTTTCCACAGTTATCATAAGACTACTGCTATTAGTAACTAATAATAAGTCAGCACTTAAAACTACATCCAATGTCTGATCAATTTCTCTAAGAGCGATGGCGCTATCAAAATCAATGGCAGTTTCATATTGTATAGCCGAACTATTCGCCTCAAGACGAAGAAGCTAACAAGCTTATATAATTTTTTTATACCTTATGCCACTGTATTTGGTATGACTAGTCACGTCCCCGACTTTGGCATGTTAATGGTATTATTCCTCTGATTTCGTGCGATTATATATGAATTTTACATTTGAATTTTACGTAGGTGGCAATGCAGGTGAGAAAATGTGTAAAGACTACAGTCTTAAAACACTAATGAATTTGGCTTCTTATGTGTACAATGATAGACCTAACAGAGAGTTTTAGAATCGATAAATTCCTAAGTGAATAAAAATTTGCGTGGATTAATTTTGATAGCACATGACTTCCATACCATCCATACGTTTCGTGTCTAAGCAGTTGCGAAAACCATTCAAAATTCATCGAAATCTTTAAGTCGTTCACACTACACGTGAATTGACTAGGCGGTGGGTGATGCAAACTCTATCCTCCACTTGTCGATAGTGAAATGGGAAACAAACACAATTCAAGTTTAATCCCTCAAACAAAGCCTTCAAACAAATCTAGACAATGAACAAACATTAATAATTAATTGCCTTTTATACGATTTAAGCGCATTTCACTTAGTATTTTTAGTGCACGCCTTGTAGCATCTTGCCGAGACTCTTCGATGCTTGTGTCAATACCATGATATATTTGCGGCGGATTGGTAGAGGGCATTATATACAACAAATGATATTTCATAGGAAAGTAATTAACCTTTGGTTGAGTGCACATCTTCTAGTTGGAATTAGTGTCATCGTTTTTTAAAGCCGAACATAAGCTCGCATCTGACGACGCAGGCGCCACGTTGTTATTCGATTCATTACTTTTTTCGTCTGTAACGTTTACACACTCCAATTTGTTTTCTTTATTTTTTGGTTCAATGTGACCAGCTTCCGATTTACATGATTTATTAGATGTCAGGTCTATTTGATCTGTGATATGAGGTGTATTTACGAATGAACAAACTATACATTTATATGTGTTTAACCTTTATTATCCCTTGCATGCTTTAAGACAAGAATACCGGGGAGTTTATTATTGGCAGATACAAGTTCCTCTTCAATAATATCTAAAGACAATGACTTCGGTTGCTTTGTAGAAATGCGTGACTTTTCGTCGGAAGTTGCAACCAATTCTTTAGCGGGACTCAGGTTTGATTGACTCTCAGTACTCTGTGCTTCTATGCCCAAGGGTATTATAAAGTCTGAGGTAAAATATATACCTATTTTTAAATTTTAAGATAGATAGCTAAAAAAGTTTGATTCCCGTAAAACAACTTTTCGTCATCCACCACATCAACCTTGTAAATCTTCAGTAAACTAATGCGAACGACGCTTTCACTGTTCGTTGGCTTGTCCTAGGTGACGTTGGTAAAAAATTATAATTCAATTTTTTTTTTTTATTAATTATAGACTTATTATAGACTTTTGTCTAATATGGAGGGATGATGTTCATAACTGGAATGGTCGTAACAGTGATTCAATTTTGTGTTTCGATAGGTTTGGATCAGAATGCGAAATATGTACACGGATGGACGGACTGACAAATGTAAATCGGTTCAGCAAATGACTCTGAATTGATCGACATAATAAAAAAGAAACTTTACCGTCCCCTGCAGGAGGCTCTGGAGTTGTGGACTTTTTACCAACGATGGCCGAACTCGTCGACGCTGAAACGTAAAATAATGAAAACGTAAAATAATGAAGTTTTAATATCATATCTTTAATAATGTATGATATTTTAAGAGCTTTCTTCATTAAATCGAATGGAATTAAAAAAATTTTCAAAAATTTTATTTAGATCCCAATATGTGTATAGAACTATTATAAGTTTTAGTTTTATCTTCTTCACCTTTCGACTTCTTTAGTTATTTAATTTTTTTACAAAAATAGTTTTTAAAAATCTAAATTTTAGCCTTAAAAATGTTTGCTTGTTAACTAAATTAAGTTTTGTTATACCATTTTTATCAATATTGCTTGAAAGATTAAATAAAGTTAATAAACTATTTAGTTAATCCGATGCCAAAGATAAATGTAAACTAAATTACGCCCTTTATAATAAATTTGCTAAAATCAGTTCCAAAGAGTAGTGCACCATTGGAAATGCACTTAAGTTGTAAAGCGAGAAATACAATATAAAGCGCATTAACGGATTGGCAGCATAACCAAGTATCCAATGTTTTTACTTTCGAAAGTCGAAAGTATGGGATGGATAGTTAAGCCCATTTGGTAACAATTCTCAGTGGAACTGCTTTTGCAGTTAAGTCTTACAATAAAAAGCCGCTTTCATAAAAAAGATGTTTGCTTTTGTAACTCTTGGCACTTAAACTTTAATTATAAAAAAAAAAAAAAAATCTTTTTATAAAGTGCAGATGGAAAACTATTGATGTTGTTTTTGTTGTTGTTGTTGGTGTTGTTGATGATCATTACTAACTGCTATAGATTTTTCGCCCAAGACTCTCATAGCATTTGAATAGTCTGAATCAATTTGTGGTATAATCTGTTTATCGTTCGGGCGTAAAGTGCGAATTAAATCGGTTAGCGAGAGAAAAGATTGATGGCCAACATCCTCAAGATCGCTCGATAATGAAGGAATGTGCCTGTTCTCGTTGTGGGCTTGTTTCTCGACCTCTTGCGATATCTGCTTAAGGCGAACTTCAACACTAGGCATTTCATCTGTATTCGTCGCTTCATACGATTCGTGCGATATGGTATTATGGACATTAGCTTCGCTAGATGCATCTTCTAAAGAGGACGAAGAAATTGGTTTCGCTTTAGGAGTTTTTGCATTATTGCTCAAAGGTAATTCTTCGTCTTCCTCTTCCCTCTCAGATAAATCCTCTAAATCCCTATCATTATACGCAACTTCTACATTTTCTTGAGTATTGACGGCATCCTCTTGTTCAATGCTATCCTCCTCATGGTCATCTACATCGTCATGGGCCTGCATTTCATCAATTTGATTAATCTCGCTATTGTGTCGTTCCTGCTGCTCTTCTCCGTCATCTGCGATTTCGTGTTCGTTTTCGTCGTTTTCTTCAATATTTTGCGAATCTGACGTCATCCCGATCGAATTTAAAGCACGTTCTTGATCCAATTTTAAAGAAACATACGAAGGTTGATTAAGCTTTTTGTTTACGTTGCCGAAGGAAGATATTAACAAAGGCAATGGTGAAGTCGTGGTTGTGGTACTAAACACGGTGGTCGTTCTAAATTCAGTCTGTCTTAAAACGTCGTCGGCACTGCGAGGCGTGGTTGTTGTAATGGGGCGCCTGTAGGTAAAAAAAAATAATAAATAAATAAATCATTATAAATAATTTATAATTGATTTGATAAACTAACATAAGAAAATCAATTGCAATAAAAAGCTGAGAGGCTGAGTACTACTACCTTTAGGAAAGCTAAGCCCCAAATCACCAGAGAGAAGTTTTGTGGATGAAAAACGAAAAGTTAGTAAATTTATATTCAAAAAAAAAAAAAAATTACGGGCTTTAAAATTTGCTGCTACATAAGCTTAAATTACTTGTGTATTTATTGGTTAGTTGTGATATTTAAATTAAATAATCGAGCGAAAGGATTAAAAAAGCATTGATAAATTAATATGACTTGGGGTTTTAGCTCACCTAAAAAACACAGTTTACATTTTGATCGCACACTTCTCTCTGCAAAATTATTTTGCTCAAGTTTTCTTCCATTTTTTTTTTCGTTTTACTCGATTTATTTTTCAATAATTATTTTTAGACTTAATTTAGCGAAAATTTAAAATATATATATGTATATATATATATATATATATATATGTATATAATTTGTAGACTAAGATTCTTTACTTATTTATAGATTTTTAATAGAAATAATTTTTTACTGCTTTTTTCCTTTTTTGTTTTACATTTTGTTGTTTTTGTTGCTGTTTTTGTTGCTATATTAAGAAGAACCATGATCCCTAAAAGTTTTTCTTTCCCCAAATTTTATTATTATTGATTTATTTATTTATTTATTTATTTATTTTCTTTTTCTTAACGATTTTTGAAATATTGTTCATTCCGTTTCTTAGAAAACCTTACCCCTGCGCTGATGATACAGGAATACTGCCATAATTATAATAATAGCAGCGAGTTTGTTCGCATATGAAGTCTTTAACAGCCGAACAATCCTCGGGCATCCATTTCAGAGTAGGCTGTTTTAGTATGACGCAACCTTTTTCGGCGCCGCTGCTACTGTTTAAAAGAAAAATAATCGCGAATTTAGTAAGTAATTTAAACAAGAAAAAAAAAAAAATAAAATTGTTTTTCTTTTAAATCTACAAGAAAATGGTTAGAGATGCTTTACCTATCGCGGGCAGTTCGTTGAGGGGCAGTATTGCTATTGTGATCCACAGGATCCAGGAGGCCAGCCTGTACAGCATCTGCGCTGTTTTCGAAAAAGTCGAATGTAGCATTGAACGGTAAGCCAGTGCTCATCCAAAGGAACATGCCCGTACCCAACCGATTACCCGAAGTCCAGAAGTCATAATTACCATAACCTGCATTTTTCAAATACATGGTCATCGATTCAGCTTTTTCCTTTGTTTCGAACGAAGCCAATTGCAGGCCTAAGGAACGACAATACTGATAAGCTAGAAAATAATTCAATTCCGGTGAATAAGGATTCATGCGACTGATAAAGTATTGCACGCCATCCAGGTGTATGGTGGTAATGCGTTGACCTTAAAAGATGGATGTATAGAAAACATACATTAATATATGTATATATGTGTGTATTTATGTGTATATGGTTAACATATAGAAATTAATTTAATTTTTCCAAGTTTCATTGACATTCATTTCGTTTATGTTATGCCATGCACGACCATTGCTTATAGATAGCTTTAGTTCTTCTTCTTCACGAATTTCTAACTTGATCGTAAATCTATATATAAATGCTAGCTAATTATAATTATGCCCATGCATCGATAGTTGTGTGTGTGTGTGTGTGTGTGTGTGTGTGTGCGTGTTTGTATGTGTGTATTTTACGTTAGGTGCGTGAGCATAATTTTTTTTTCTTCTTTTCAAAATCATTTCCTGTAATTGAAATTCATACCGCATACCGTTTCATTCATTCAAACTCTCCAGCATAAGTTTGAAAAACAACATAAATTGTCAAAGAATTATTTTTGCTCCGTTTCTTCTTCTCTTCTGTTTCACCAAAACTAGCTATAAGTCTTTTTGTATGGATTATTCCGTTTTTGGTTTCTTTTTTGCAATTATCTGTAATGGCTAAAATAAAATAACTGGTTTGTCTATACGCAGACTAAAAAAAAAAAAAAAAAAAAAATTTTACTCGCGCAAACTTTTTTTTTGAAAAATTATTTATTTATACGTAATATCTCGATATCGAATAAAAAAAATGCTATTATTGCGTTAGTGTGTCACAAGGCAAAAAAATCTATCAGACACGACCATCGGCCGATTTATGAGCCAGAAGGGCAATAGAAAACGCATCCTCACCATCGGACCAAGATCGGACTGCTTGCAGTCACATCCTTGCATTGGTATCGCAATCGTAGAATCACTTCTTTCAGTTTGTTTCAGTTTGAAGACTTTCTGCACCCTCCTCCTACGTCCGAACCATGCGAATTCAGCAAATTTATTCAAAAATCAACGTCAGAGGGTGGCGTAATTTTCTGATCGATTAGCGAAACTTTCTTTCGTCGCGCCGTTCACATTGTCTTTGCTCTTGAAAACTTTATGGAAACTGAAATTTCGGATTTATATCCCAATTTATTGGAAAGAGGAGACGCGCCCTGTTGAGAACTAAGCTCGCTATAGGCCAAACCTTCGAATTAATTGTGATTAAAGTTACTTTATTTTGGCTCCTTTGCGTTTACTTGTCAAAAAACCTGGTTTTCCGTCGATGAGTGTGGCCTCCTTATTAAGAGTAATAGCATCCGGATAGACGCGTGTATTATAGAACATAAGCAATGCAATCATTAGGCCTGGTTTTTATGTAAAGAATTATTCTTGATGAGTGCCCTCATCGGGGAGAGCGCAAAACATGAATCGTCGTAGTTCTTATTTAACAATAAATAATGTTCAAAGGTCAAAAGAACCACAGATGTCAAAGATACTATTGTCGTTCTCAGGTATGAAAAATTACATTTTTTTGCTCTATGTAAGGCTGCTTTTCATAAAAACCATCATATGGGATGGCTCCTGATCCAAATGTGGCGCAGTTAGTTTTCATTTCAAATTAAATGGTTTTGCAATGTAAAGGCTTTCTTTTTGTTTCCAATTGGTCTATTCTAAGTTATCCAATGAGAATTGCAAATTTTTCTCGTATGATAACTTCTTCAAGAGAAGACATTGTGTATGTAGATGGTAAAAATGGTTTCATACAATTTGTTTTTGATAGGATACACGGTTGACGCCGATTTATCGAATTTCGTCAGAATACTTTAAAGATCGCTACCCGTCCGTTGAACACAATTACGTAGGTAAAACTATCAGGCTAATAAACAGACATCGACAAGCTTAGATTGATTCAGCAAACGATGGATATAATAAAAAGTCATGTTCCTTTCTCGATTGTTGACGCATTTCTGTATTGCTAACATAATGCAACTCGTCCCGCAAGCTGTACGGGTTGTAATGAATACTTCATAAATGGGCATGGTGTCAATAGGAAAAATTGGTAACGAGAAAAAAAAGTAAAAAAAGGATGTCATATCCCGGTTGAGGGGATCTTTCTAACATGAACTACCAGCTGTTACCTGATATTTAATTCTTTTAAGAAAGAACGATGATCAAAATATCCATTTCATATATGAATGGTCAATCCCATCGCGCGAACTTATACAGTTCAGCAGCGTTTTTATAGCTAAGAACTTGATAAAAGCATATTTGTATTGTTTTTCGATAGTTGTGGACGCATTTTTGAGTTAATTCAGCTCATTTTCGCTAAGGCAGGCTCGGGCATGATAAGAAAATGTTTTCAAACAAAGCTTGTTATTTAGACAACGTGTTGCGGTTGTAAACTGATTTCAATGGAAAGTCAGATCAGACCTAATCAGGAAAAGTCGAGAAGGCATATTGTTCTATCATTTTTGTTTTATTCGAATGTAACGTTTGTTTATTCTACGGAATGGATTTTTTCGCATGTTGCATTTATACCCAACACCGCTTATAATAGAAGCGTAGATTGTGCGGGTATATGTAGCGCTCAGAAAGATTTGAGAGAGAGCCCAGCTTTTATTATACCCATCGATAAGCTTGTCCGTCTGTCCGTTTTGTTTTCTTTCCTTCAATCTACAGGTCGCAAACTTTCCACATATTTTGATGAAATTTCGTACACCAACACGTTTTCACCCTAGGACGAATGCTATTGAAAATGGTTCGCAACCGATCGCTTTTTGACCGCTTCCAATATAATGCCTTATGTTGGAAGCTCTTTACATGAGCAACTGCGCTAAATGGAGATGCGAAGGGCATTTATTCGTGGGCCGTATTGATGTGTCATTTATTTTATAGTCAGTTAAGTGATTAAGAGAGCACATGTTCGATTGTTTTATGAGCAAAAATTTTCATTTCCGTTTTACACTATTTTACGAGAAATCTATTTCCCGTATATAGGGGGAAAAGGTATTTTGTAAGGTTTCCGAGTGGTTAACGAATCTTACGTACCCTCTGCGTGGGCGCGAAAGGCGATATGCGAAATTTTGGGAAAACTATATTCAACAGAAGTTTCTTTTAGAAATCTATTACAGTCGTTAAAAAACCTTCAGAAAGAAGCAGTTACTTGGCTGATGTAGTTTTTGTAAAATTCAAAAGAAATAGTTGGGTTGAATTCGTTGGTGAACGGCGAGAACTCCCCTCAAAACAAAAATCCTTATAGAGCTCGAGTTAGCGTTCTTAGTTGGCATAAAGAAGATTTTCTTTTAATGTGTAAAGATCCCTCTCGCTCTCTCTGCGTAGAGTAGCAGCGGACAGCTTTTTTCCATCTACGGGGCAATTTTAATACTCATATCACGGCGGGGGCCAACATATATATAAATTTATATATATACATATATATATATAGAAAAGATACATTTCACATTTGATAGCCGCACAGCTGAGGCGGCAGTGACGACAAATACAAAGCAATGTTTTTGCTCAGTTGCTTCGCATAAAAACTAATTGCAGCAGTCACAAATTCTGAACCCAAAGTTGAAAGCCTCTTGTCGTCAGAGGAGACCTGCGTGTAGTCCGTCATGAAGCACCATGAGCCCATGTACCCGAAAAATCCTAAAATCGTGTACATACCCATTCGGAGCTGCAAATAATGACTTGGTGTACACATTCAAAACTACAATCAATATGTGTACATAACATGCACAATTGTTCGACCTATAAGGGGATTCTATTTTCAGATTATTAGATAAGACGAGATTATATTCACGACTTCTAACTAAATTCATTTTTTATTCGTGCAATAAATAACATAATTTCTGATGTGGCATTAATAAATTTTTCAATCAGCTTGTCGTTGAATCGCAGTGTAAAGCTGTTAACTTGTAATTGCCTAAGAAACTCTTGCAATGTGCGAAAAAGTATTGCGTCAATTACAATGCGTCGGCTGCTTGGCAAAACGAGCAGTGCTGAAGTGAACCAGAATCTTATGCTGATCAAGAAGACATATTCCAGTTGGGATTTCTATTGTCCAATTTAAACGGAAAAACATCCATTCCTGTAACGCCCCTGGGTTCGGCAAGCTTATGAAATGACAATGGTTTTTGTAATGTTTGGACTGTGCCAATTGTTACCAGCTATTATCTTTTCTTTAGCTGATTAGGGCCACAATTTCGAGTAAAATGATAAGTTTTTCTATGAGGCTCAGAATTTGTAAGAAATATTTAAGGCGTACACTTAAAGACCTTGCCACAACTCCCAGATTAAGATCGTGTATATCGCAATAAAGAAGAAGGTCGGCTATAGTAAGAATTAAGCAACTAAGAATAATGCCCTGTTCCACGATTTATCGAGAATACTTTTTATTTATGCCTAACATTGCTCAACAAACGTTTGACATGTTTAAAAGACCAGTTTGCAGCATAGCGGGGCCTTGTTTGTGCCCATACCTGATTTAGAGTGTAAAAAGTTTTTTTATTTTTTTTGTAATACCTTAAAATATGCTTCATAATTTCTAAGTCATGCACTTTCTGATCAATCAGTCTTCCCTTATATTTTTTTGCAGTCAAAATTCGAGTGATTAAAGCTTTATGCCATTTATACCCTATGCGCTAGAAGTTTATATTTCCACGAATACTTCAAACCTGGAAAAATTGAGACTAATATGCAATCGTATAATTAAATACACATTCTCCATGACGCGGTATGTATGTTGTACCCTCCCTAATTTTAATAAAATTAGCCTATCGTTGGACCTTTACAACCTTTATGCTACAGCAGTGATCGAAGGATCTTTTCAATCTCTTGTCTTCTAGTAGGTCAGTTCGCAATAACCATTCCATGTTTTTATTTCACCTAAAAGCGTAGGCTTTTAATATCCGCAGCAAATAACGAGATCAGCTACTTACTTAGCACTGGGACAATAGTGTGTGGGTATGCGATGTGCTATCTCCGTGACTACTAGCCCAGTTAATTTCTTTTTTCTTTCTTTACCTTCAATTTGTTTTTTCACTTTTTTAGTTTGTTTAATGGCAATTTGTATGATCGCATTTCATTATTGCACCTATGGTAGGCAGGCATTGTAATTTAGTGTAACAGGCGTTAATGGCTGCAAGGTGACGTGGGCGTCAATAAATAAGTAAAAATAAATAAATTTGTGGTGAATTTAATTTTAAAGTCATTTCAGCGTTCGGAATTTAACGTTTAAAATGCGTTGATGATGATGATGATGGTGATGATAATGAAAAACTTTCATTCGGTTATCTACCAACTTTTGAGGTTTTATGTTCATAAGGTGTGCATTGGTTGGCGAAACCGCGTTAATCGCTCACATAATTGTGCCAGATTTTAAGTTAAGATTTCCTCTAATGTTTGCATTCTCTAAACTACTGTTAAGAAGACTCTTCCACACCCAGCTTGCACAGAGAAGGGACGGAGACATTCTTATAACATCGTCTGTGATGTGCACTATTTAAGCTGCTTAAGATAAACTCAACGGAAAACCTATCGTGCATTAATTCGCACACACACATACGCACACACGCACGAAGAAATTTTTTGAAAAAAGTACATTTTCAGCTTTTAGATCATAGAAATTGTACGAAAGTCAGTTTAGTAAAACTTAAGCTAAAGTCGGAGAAGTTTAGTCGATGTTAACGCCATTTACCCATGAAAAAGGATTGCAGCCGTCCTGATATATTCTCGATCAGTGCGACTGACAAAAGAGATTCGTGCCAATTTATCTATCTCTTTGTCCGTTGGATCCAAAATAGGGTTCAATTGTTTACTTAGATGTTATCAAGCTTGAGTTCGAGAATTCAGTAAAATCGCCTTATGGGCTCATTCCTGACCTAATCAGAAAATTAGATATTCTACATATATGAGATGCATTTCATAATTTACAACTTTAACATTGTACAGAGTCCGTAGTTTGGAGCTTTAAGATAAGTTATGTCGTGACCAATTTGACAAACAATTTAAACCGAGATTTCATCCACAAGAAAGCCGCTGCTTGCACATATGATCTTTAATTTGGGCTGTTACAAGTACATTAAGAAATTTGAATTTATTATCCCCTACGGCAACATTTGGAGTAAGGGGGCATATTACATTTATGCGGAGGTTTGTGACATCTCGAAGGACCTGACATGGATCCACGATTTATTGTGAATCAATTTGAGCTTGTCCGTCCGTAAGGCCACATTCACTTGCTTGGATACGTTCAAGGACCACTTTTCGATTTACCTCGAAATGTTATTATGTGAATAACTTCAGGGTGGCGTGGGGTATTGCCTGATGGGGTGGTGCCTGATCCCCCCTAGTATTTTTACTTGTTTTGATATAAATTTTTAAAAAATTTTAAAATTATTATCATCAAATTTTGTAACAACCGTAATTGTTGTAAGTTTACAAGTTAGCAAGCGACTCTGTGCTCTTTGCAGCGCACAGGAAAATTAATTGTTGAAAATTAAATGTGAGAAATTGCAACATGTAGATGCAAACATGCTAATAACAGCCTAAGTTAAAATGTTTCAAACTTCACGTTTTGACGTATGGCGTAACGCAAAGACCTTTCATTGAATTGTTACACTTGTTATAGATTGTGCGAAATTTCCTGTATAGGCAAAGATCACTTTTGGATAACTTTTTACGATAAGGACCAAGAGGAAGAATTTTAAAGGGCATTTCGCGAATTTTTAATGAATCCGCTTAACCCTCAGATGTCACTATTCGGAAAGATATTGTTTGATATAGTATCCGTAGCTTGTGGCCATCATTTTTGCGTATGGCTAACATGAGGGTAAATTTTTACCAATCTGCACTTTATACTTCAAATGACGGGCATTTATCCATGCTGCATATACACTCCAATGTCATTTAGCATTTGAAGAGATAAGACAATTTTGATCTAAAACTTCCTATAAGCGTTTGCCATAAACAGGCCCTTACTAAAAGAAAAATCTCATAACCTAACGTATACTTATCTGAAAGGGCAAAAAGTTCATTATAAAAATGGTCTCGATTAACCAATTTTTTTCGAGGTAATGAGTCGTCAAACGTCTGCCTCAAAGCGAACGTGAATTTTCTACTTTATTATTGTTTTTTTTAATCATTTGTAGCCTGCAGCTGTGCAGCAGTGCACAGTTTCCTCGGGCAATAGGTTGATCGGAAGCAAAAGTTTTATTTATTGACACGAATAAGGATTCAGATAATCATTTGGTGAAAAGATCTAATATCTAATTTCCATTGAGCAGAAATTATCCAAGGAATGAAGCGTCATTCTCAACATTTCAATTCTTCTAATCAAACGGAACTAATCATTGCTTAAATAAATTTAAGAAATATCCTCGTAGAAGGTCGAAAGAATTGAAAATTAATTGAAAGTAATTATCATCGCATTATAGGCGCTATTTTCTGGGACCTTACAGCTTAAATTAATCGTAATAGATTTGTTTTCATTTCCATTACGTTCTTTAGCGGAAATTTAGCGTGGGTCGCATGTAAAATATTCGCTCACGAAAGCTTCATATATTTGAACAAACAACAAACAAATTGTTCTTACCAACGTTGTCCTGAGTGAAACTCATGTCCATAAAATTAATCAACGTTCACTGTTTAGTCGGAAGGGGATATCGTGTGGTTAACGAGAAAACCGAATAATCTGAATCTTGGCTCTATTTTTCGGGTAAAGTTGAAAAATTAAAAGGTTCGACCCATACCAGTATAGTATTAGTATAGACTTATTTTACAACAAATCCATAAAGAAGACGTCCGTCGAAATAAAATCAAAATATTCAGTCTTTATTCATCGACTTCGTATTAAATTGAAGTCAAATTTAAAAATAAGTTGAATCTGATTTAAAAAAGATCTGAAAATCTTTTAAGATCTTTGTACAATTTGTCTTGTGAAAAAGTTAGCACCGGAATGATTTGTATTTTTATCAATAAAAGTCACAAAGTATGTCGATCAGCCAGGCAGTGATTAATCCATAATAAGAAGAAAAAAAAAAAAACTTATGAGTTGTATATATCCAGGACTCGATGTGGCGAAGTTATCATAGTTAAAATAGGTTTTCGAATATGTTTCTATTAAAATTTTCAAATATTTCCAAATATAAAATTGATGGACTGTTCGTCTTACAAGGCACACCGAATATGTGTCATGTTTCTTTTTTTTTTAATTTTTGTTATGACCTTGGTATTAATCTTGATCTTGAAATTATTGGCTCCGAAATTTGTAAGAATTTTATTCATTTTTATTTAATAAACAGATTTATTATTTTGTTCGCATCAAAATATTAGCAAAACACTCACCTGTTGATAGGGCGACTAAACTTAGAAGACAAATCAATATTTTGTTCATTTTAAAAATAAAAAATTGTTTTTTTTTTGTTTGTGTCTAAGAAACGTTTTTTTTTTTGAAAGCAGCACAATTTATATTCCCCTCGTTTTTCTGATTTGAATGTTTTCAAAGAGCAAAATAAATTCCACAGCGCCCAAAATTATGTTTAGTAATTAAGTTGATGCTCTCTCGGTACAAGTGTATTATCCGTAAGATGAACCGATTCGAAGCGAGTTCAAAACTAAATTGTCCGAAATGTGGCCTAAGAATTGCGAAACTAGCTTCGATTCTTTTGGCCAAAGGTTCTTTAATTCACACACTCATACACATAGACACAATTGCAATGCTAGCAAACGACAGCCTAGGCTCGAACACAAATGCACTAACACAGTATATGTATATGTATGTATATACGTTTTTATTGTTATATAAATGTTCGCATTTATTAAAGAAGAAGGAAAAAAAAAAAAAAGAGGCAAGTTGTCCGCCGATGGGCGCAAAAAATAACGAAGAGGACTGGCTAAAAAATTGTTCTTGACTCGGAAGTATGTTGGGCTAATAACGACGACGATTACGATGATGATAATGACGCCAATGACGATGATGATAATGATAATGATGATGATGATGATGACGATAGTTTAGTTAAAGCGCGACTTGCTTTAGTCTCAAATTCACGATCGCGAATGCCTGAAATGGTTATGTGTTTGAAGCTTAAAAGGAATTTTAACCAGACGATCACAGGAACGTCAATATATTTGTGTGTATATATGCACCATATACATGCATGCCAAGATATATAGTGCGGATGTCTGTATAGAAGAAAAGAAAAGAAAAGAAAAGAGTGGTAAGAAATAACAACAAATGAAGACTCATTCTTAACCTAACAATTGTCGCTTATAAGCCAACACATGAATATAAACATGAAATCATATACAATGAAATAAAGTCAAAAGGAAGACAATTAAACACGCACACGAACATGTATTTAGTTTAGTGGGAAAACGAACAACAAGATTACTATCAACTCTACGTAACCCAACATGTCCAACATGTATAGTAAAGAACTATAATGCGATGATGAGCAAAGAAATGTAAATAGCGTATAAAAAAATAAAAAAGAGAGAGAGAGAGAGAGAGAGAATGAGCAGAGAAGAGTTGAGTAGGGTAAGAGTGGAGTGCAAATGAAGAATCAAACTTCTTTGCAAATAACTATTTTTAGAAGCCCACAGTATACTAAATGCATACATATACACGTACGAACGTATATAAAAAGATGCTTAACCGATTCTACGCCACCAATGTAACTGACAATAACAACAACAACAACAACAATAATAACAACCGTGGCAATCTTAAGTCGGATTCCGAATCAAAGTTTGAATCAAAGAATTGAAATTATACGTACTGTAGGGTAGTGTTTGTGTTCTCTCTTATTTCTTCTTTTTCTACATCGTCTTCAGATTTTTCATCGGTAGTTCATTTACAATTATTGTCGCAGGGTCTTTGTCCACATATGTTACCATCACAACAATACAACAATAACAGCTAGAAAACCAAATCATTATCATTATTAAGAATATTGTTGGGTCTTCAATATTTTTTGACATCTCGATATATATGAGTATGTGATTACGGTGGATAAGGTGGATAGTGAATATTTTCTTGTGTCGTTTTTTTTTCACTATCGAGGACAAATAACAAGACTGCTTTTTTTCTTACCTCACACTCTCCTCTTATCTTCTTTCATATTTTTTTTTTTTCTTTAAGCCTTCTCTTGCTTATTAATAAAAAGAAACGTTGGCTGACAAATGGTTTCGTTTCGTTTCCCGTTTATGTATTCGTATTATAAAATGCAATGTCATTGAAAACCTTGGGATCTTCAATGAGATATTCTAAAGGAGTTATTCTAATGTTATCATGTTTTCAATCATATCCATCTAGTTAATGTTTACATCATTTCTTTGAAATACTTGTCAAATAAATAATAGCTGAGGTGCTAAGGAAGAATTTATCAAAACATTCTAATTATATAAAGGTTCCGTTATGAACGCTTATACGATTCTTAATCGTTTGCTTTGTACACTCTAGCGGTAAGCAGTTACGCTGTTTTAATCTTAACGAGTTTTTGCTGGCTTTGACGATCTTTTGCAACCTAATAATCCATTTAGGTAAACGATTTCAAAGGGACAAAGTAATCTCTTTGTGTTATTACCTCTTTATTCATTGCATCCATTTATGGATTCTAATACTAAAAGTCAAACAAAAACATTATTTCGGATATCTGGTCAGAAAATAACTTAGTTGACGCTTAGTTGTAACGTGAACAGTGTGCTTTTGGTTAGTAATGAGTTCCTTTTTAACGATTTGCGTCGCTATGTTTCGATACCATAAGTTGATGGACGTACAATGGTTAACTTCACTATGTCCAATGGCGCACGGAGTTCATTACGTCAGTTAACGTGCCCGTGGCCATGGCTTTCGTTTTAGGGAATATTAATCTTATCGTTTAACTAAAGCCAGGCACTGCCGAAGACGGGGCTTCTTACGCTCGCGAGACCCACCTATGGATATATTTGTGGCAGCAAATAACTACTTCGAGTTACGTCTTCCACAAAATCATGCGTTAGCGATCCTCCTGCCTCTTCTCAAATATCCGTCAACAGTCGAAGAAAGGAAATCGATACAGCTACGTTCTTATCACATTCTTTCATTCAACTACAACTTTTCTAATCCGTAGTAATTCTCAAGATTTCTATAGTGCAGTGTAGTATAGTGTACAATGAAAAAAGTCTTCTTTCAAAAGAACAGAATCCTCGTTCCGACTGACTGCGAAGGCGACTCATTGCAAGCACATGTCTAATTGGAACGACGTGGTTGAGCCGCATTTCTTCTATAGTATATCAAAGTTTATGGCTTACTGCAAATACAACCATGTATGATCTGAAAAACACAATGTTCAACGCAAAATCAAAAGTTAATGAAAAATGACATTTTTTTGAACGGTTTCACCTTCGCTCTATTCATGTGATCGGGAGATGTGACTAGACGAAATTTTTTTTTTGAAAGCTTTAGGGGCCTTGAGACTTTCATTGATTTGTTGCGCCTTTCTACACTTAGAAAAATTTAAACAAGTCTTGGGCAATAGATGGTCGTACAAGAATCCAAAAATCATACATACTTGAAAGAATTGTTAAAAAGTACGGGATATGAGCAAATACAAATATGTACACATGGTTAGGTATCTTTTGTTTGTCTCTCTTGTGTTTTATATGTATGTACACATGGATGACAATTGTTTGCTTGTTTGCTTTTGTGAATGCAACCTTAAGTTCTTCCTTATAGACATATTTGTTTGTCATCGTTTTCACAAAGAGATGTTTAACGATTATCTTCCTCATCGCAATGTTTGCGGCGTGGATGGATGTGTTTATATAATTAATGTTCATGATTATTGCATACATATATTATTATTAACTTTAAAACTAAACGTTTTTCATATTCATTTCTTATTCATATAATTCTGAATAATTCGTAAATAGACTTCAATCACGACAGCAGAAATCATAGACGGACTGTACTACGTTAAGCGTAAACATTTTTCGTAGCTTATTTGGTAAATTCCAATTAAATCAATCGATGTGGTCACGCCTGTCCGTCAGTTAGTGGACGTTTAGCAGATCAGACACGACTTTCCATTTGCGGAAATATGGAGGGATATAAGGATGAGCGAATGCAGAGATAGGCAGAAGACTAGACTTGTAGATGGGTAGCCTTCAACTTTGGTGGACGCATGTACAATTACGTAGTGTAATCAACAGATGGACGAAAAAAAGAGTGAACAAAGAAACCGCCTGTTGGGCAGGCGGACACACATGTAAAGAAATAGACAGAGGCAAAGCAAATGTGGAAAAGTAGTTAAAGGAAAAGAAGATGTGGATATAGTTAGAAGAACTAACAAGTGAACAAATGTGAGGAGGAGCGCACATACGTGACGATGAATAAGTGGGCGGATAGGCCCACGGAGGAACAAGCGAACAGCGTAAAATTTGGATAACACAAAGATGCGGAGGGCACCTGGCAGGTGACTCGATATGCGGTCGAGTAGTCTTACGTGCAATACATCGTGGACGAAGGAGCAAGCGATGGATATGTAAGATGTTGATAGATATATATATATATATATATAGAGAGAGGGAGAGAGAGAGAAATCGGGTGCACAAACGCAAAAATGAACAAACTGCCAGACAAATGCACAAGTAGAAAGTAGAAACGTAGAGCGAGAGAAGTCCACAGATAAAGCGGTAGTTGAATGCAGTTAGAGATGTGAAATAACCCATGCGCACGAATGTTGTCGACGGGGCAAAGAATAAAACGACGAACGACGGACGGATAAGTTGACGGAAAAACGTCAATGAAAATCGTGCCCATATTTCTTGAATTTTTTATTTAAAGAATATCTATATATATAATACATATAACATATTTGTACGTGTTATTATATATGCATATGTTATATGTGTACAAACTGAATGAAATAATTGATAATTACAATCCCTGCTAGTTATAATTTATAGCTAACGAGACTACAATGGGGCGATAACATTATTTTGCCATGAAAACTACATTTGCAGTGGTTGGCATAGATTTCAGACCATTTTACTGATAGGGTTGAGCAATGGATGAGACTGAAATGATTAGCGTTTTATTAATGCCCTTAACATTGCTCGTGTTTTTTTTAATCATTACGGTGTAGAAGAGCAGTGTTAATCTGAAGTAGCTTTTATGTTGCCTTAAGTTCAGCTGTTCACACGAAAGACGGTTGAAATACTCTTTGACATCAAGTTGATTGTCCTTAGGCAACTTGCAACTTAGGTTCTCTAAACAATTGATAATTTTTCTCTAGTATCACGAGCGTACGTTTATTTTAAAAATGGCTTATCTAACATACCTAAAAATTGCATTTAACTCACTGTTGTGTAGAATTAAAATATTATTTTTATAACAGTTTTTGAAAGAGTAAAAATATGTTCCTTGAAACGAATGTCTTTTTTATACCCATCATCGAAGGTTGAGGGATATATTCATTTTGCACGTTTGCACGTTTGCAACGCCCAGAAAGAAACATCAGAAATCCACAAGGTATTTATATATACTTGATCAACATCAAATTCTAAATCAATTTAAACATGTCCGTCTGCCCGTCTGACGGTCCATCCATCTGGGTAAGGTCTGGTGTAAACAATCGCCTGGCCGCAAAGATCAAGCTATCGACTTTAAATTTTCCAGAAGCATTGGAAGTTCTTGCAGGCGGGCTGGTATTGAAAATGGGCCAAATCGGTCGAAGGGGACACACAGCACCACGTGAAGTGAAAACACCTCTGTTTTTCAAAGGGAACGAAAAATTGGGTTTTTGCTCATTACAGATAAACTATAGCAAGTAAGTGTACAAAAATCTGAACACAACTTCTATGGTCGATGCTGCAGCATCTGCGCACAAAAATGGAAAAAATTGACCACGTCTACCCAATAGTATATGAAAATTTAATTATTTTTTCAATGCCTTTATAACACGGCGAAACAAGCTTCAAAACCGCTATAAAGTATATAAACTCTTGGACGGTTTCAAATTTGGAATGCAACTAAGCATGCCTTTCTATCTATATGTCCGTCT